TTCCAAGCTGCTGGTTTGTTTCCATCTATTCTTTCTCTCTGTCCAAGTAATCAAATAATATACTTTGAGGTCAGTATCACTGCTCTCCATCATGCTGTCTCTTCCCCTACCTGATTCCTGGATCTCTTTACATGAATATAACATTTTAATACTTATTTCCTCCCTCTTTTCTTTAAATCAATTCTGCTTTTTTTCTATAAGGTATGCATTCCCAGAACCATATTCCAGTCATGAAATATGGTCTTATCTCACCAAGTCTCAGGAACACTTGTGGAGGTCCAATTTGCTTCCTTTCAGGAGGATCTCTATTTCACTTAGCTTGTTTCTCTTGAACAATCTATCCCCAGATAAAACTCAACTACTGACCACTTTCTTAACATGTCCCTGGTTTCCTTTACTCATTCCTGTGTCATACCTGGAATGCTTCTACTCCCTTCTTTCTATCTTAGTTTGACAATATTTTATCCAGCCTTCTAGGCCCACCTCAACTGCTCTCTGCCCTCATAAAGCCATCCCTGATCTTCCAAGTCAGAAATAATTCCTTCTTTGTCCTTTCATAATGTATTATAGTTATTGTATCTCCCTACATATCCACCATATATTTTATTTCAAATGCAATAATATACAAAGTGCTTTGCACACCTTCATATGTTATATTAACCTATTGATGATCATATCAAATTATAGACATGTCTTATTTCTTCACTAGATTTTCAGCTCCTTTTAGACAGGGACCATGTCAAGAGTACAGAGGAAGTTCAGAAGATAGTGGGCAGGAAGAAAGATAATGAGGTCTGTTTTGGACATGTTGAATGTGAGGTGCCCATAGGACATGTAGTTGAAAGTGTCCATTAGGCAGTTGGTGATGCCACATTGAGGTTTAGGGGAGAGACTTAAGATGGGCATGTAGATCTGGGAGTAATCTACATAGTGATGGTAATTGAATACATGATAGCTGATAGAATCACCAAAAGAGAAAGTATAGAGAGAAAAGAGAAGAAAGGCACCATGAGTAAAAGGAGAATACCTTAGGTACTACATATATTTCCTCCACTATGCTTAAGACAATGTTTCATATATAGTGAACAGTCAATAAATGCATACAGAATTGAATTTCCTGCTGTTCTTTAACCTAGTAAGCTACTTACTGCTTAGACTCCGAGTCCAGTCATGTCCTGGCTCAGCATTATCTCAGAGGGGCTGGCAATTTGCACCTGCACCAGGGATGGAGGGGACCAAGTCTCTGTAGAATTGAACAGTGTGACCCAGTTGCCTGGTGTAGTCCTACCAACTGACTATCCTTTAGTGAATACCAATGATGGACAATAGGGGAAGCTGTCCGTCTGGAGGGAGGAACAGGGCTCCTGAGGGATGGAAAAAGCAGGGTGTATCCTTTCTTAGAATTTATCTAGTGGTTTTAAACTGGCTATCACATGCTTCTTCTAAACTAGTTGCAGGATTACTAAATAGGCTGATTCAATGAATTACATTTTGTTTATTTATTTATTTATTTTTGGCTAGACAATGGGGTTAAGTGACTTGCCCAGGGTCACACAGCTAGTGAATGTTATGTGTCTGAGGCTGGATTTGAACTCAGGTCCTCCTGACTCCAAGGCCGGTGCTCTATCCACTGTGCCATCTAGCTGCCTCTATTAATTACATTTTTAAAACAGTTAATATGTACTTCCTATATATAAGATTGTGGGGTGAATATAGAGAGATGTCCTTGAAGCCAAGAACACGTGGGTTCAAGTTTTGCCTTTGACACATACTGGGCTGTGTAATCCTGAACAAATCACAGCCTCTCAGTGCTCTAGGCTACCCTAAGACTTCAAGTTGCAGAGACGATGATAACATGCATTGGAAGGCATGCATTCCTCACCTGGAACTTCTCTATACTAATAAAATTACAAGTCCAGTCCTTATGCCTACAGATGACACAAAAACTAAGCTAATTCTAGAGGATAGTTTGGTATTAGGGTAAAATACACTAGACATGGAATAAGATGAGTTTCAATCCTGCCTCTAAAACTTATTAGTTTTATGAACATGGGCAAGTTGTCTTCTTTGAGCCTCAGTTTTGTTATCAGTAAAACAGGCTAATAAAACTAGTGCTTCTTACTTTTACAAGACTGTTATAAAACGTGGAAATCATTTTGTAATGATTTTGCATCTGCCTGGGTTGAGTGAGAATCAGATACTAAAGATAATCATGACATAATTGGAAGTTCAGAAGATAGTGGGCAGGAAGAAAGATAATGAGGTCTGTTTTGGACATGTTGAGTGTGAGGTGCCCATAATATATGTAGTTGAAAGTGTCCATTAGGCAGTTGGTGATGCCATGTTGAGGTTTAGGGGAAAGACTTGGGATGGGCATGTAGATGTGGAGGTAATCTACATGGTGATGGTAATTGAATACTATCATGATAGCTGATAAAATCACCAAGAGAAAGTATAGAGAGAAAAGAGAAGAAAGTCCAACCAGAGTCTTGAGGATGCACCCACAGTTAGTGGGCTTGGCATAAATGATAAATTAGCAAAGGAAACTGTGAAAGAGTAATTATATAGGTAGGAAAACAGGATGAAGCAGTCTCATGAAAAAACCAGAGAGGAGAGAATATACGGAAGGGAAAGGTGTCAAATGATGCAAGTAGGATAAAGTTAGAGAAGAGGCCACTAGTCTGGGGGTCACAGAGATTCTTGGTAACTTTGGAAAGAGAAGTTTCATTTCAATGATCAGGTCAGTCAGATTCCAAGATTACAAAACATTATGAAGAAAGAGAAGAAAGGAAGTGGAGCCTTGGAGTATAGGGACCCATCTGCAGCTGGGCTGGCTCAAGCAGGTTTCTTGGTTTCTGGATCATGACAGGCCTGGATGCTGTACTGGACAAGTGGGCAAGTTACTTAGATGCTGGACTCTTCTGTTTTGAGTTGGGCCAACCAGGTCATGTGGGCAGCTAGGTAGTGCAGTGGACCTGGAGTTGGGAAGACTTAAATTCAAATCAGGCCTCAGGTATTAGCTGTGTGACCCTGGGCAAGACACTTCACCCTGTTTGCCTCAGTTTTCTCATCCTCAATGAGCTGGAGAAGGAAATGGCAAACCACTCCAGCATCTCTGCCAAGAAAACCCCAAATGGGGTCATGAAGAGTTGGACGCAACTGAAAAATGACTGAACAACAACAAAAACAGGTCACTTGGCCATTGGCCTAATAATAGACAGACACAAACGGGCCACTTTGCCTTTGGGTGGCTGTTGCCAGCCTGGGCCAGGCAGACCCACTCTGCTGCAAGACTTTTCTCAAGGCGTGTAATAGCTGGTGGACAAGCCATCCGCCAGTGTCTCTGGGCTTGCTCTTTGATGGGCAAGCTTCAGTCTCCCACCACCTTCGGTTCCTGGGTTCTATCATCTCCAAGTGCTCTTACTGGCAAAACGCCACTGTGATCTTTGAGTCAGGACAACAACCCTGTCTAAAATTGGCAGAAGCCTCTCTTTCACTCCCTAGATGCCTCAGCTACAGAGGCTTGTCATCTCCTGGTAGGATATGGAAGGAATCTAAGCTTTCAAAGTCAGTTTGCTCAGTAATGTATTCTACCTTTAAGTCTGGTAATCAGTTCCAATTCAATCAGTTACCCTTCTAGATTCTTCTCATTATCTCATGCAGATGAGTGTAGTCGTACTCTAGTGGCAAGTTCATTGTCTCCTGGTTCATTCAAATACAATTGAACTCTTCCTGAACTGTGGAATGTCTACTTTGTAGGGAAGACTCACTTTCCATTTCAATGTCTATCTTGTCTCCTTCAGCCAACCCCCACCCTGCCTCCCCAAGGTCTCCCAGCCTTGGGTTTTTCTAATCCACTTTTCACACAGCTACCAAAATAATCTTCCTTAATCCCAGGCCTAACAAAGGCATTCCCTCATCCATAAACTTCCAGTTGCTCCCTGGTGCCTATGGTATAAAATAAAAAGTCCTTAGTCTGATATTTAAGGTCTTTCATAATCCACCTCTAATTTACCTTTCCAGCCTTATTTCACATCACTCCCCTTCATGCATTGTCCATTCTATTCTGTAGAAACTGGGCTGTTGTTTCTAAAATTCAGAAGTGCTATCTCTAGTCTCCATCTCTGAATCCAATGGTTTAAACGGGGTACGTGCCCCGCTACCCCATCCCCCTTGCAGCCCACCCCCATTCTCTCTTTATCTTTTCCCAACAGCTAGAGCTTTCTCCCAAACTACATTGCATTTAACTATTTTGTACATATTTTTGAATGTGCTTTTTGTCTCTCCCATTAGAATGTAAACTCATTGTGAGTAGGGATTATTTCATTCTTTGTACTCATATATCTCCGGTACCTAATACAGTGTCCAGCATATAGTAGGCACTTAAATAACTGTGGATTCATGAAGTCAATCTCTACCACTCAGAATCCTTCTCCTCCTTCAAGGCTTATCTCAGGGGTTACCTCCTAGGGGATACCTTCTTAGATCCCACCACCTAAGAGTAAATTCTTCATCTTTGAAATTTCCTAGGATATTTTGCCTGGCTTTCGCCTTTGCCCCATCACAATTTACCATGTTTTATAGATGTAATAGGAGACTGGGCAGAATGCAACCACTTTGAAGGCAACAATTAGTTTTGCTTTTGTCTTTGTATTTTGAGTATCTTGCTTAAATGAATACTTAATGAGTATTAATTAAATTAAAATTTAATTAACATAATAACTAGTTAAATTGATTCATCAGATTCTTTGATGCTGAACATGTGCACGCGATCTATTTGGGAAAGCATAGCTTACCATTTTGCTGGGTAAAAACGCATTAGGATGATTTGAATTAGTTAGATTCCTGCAGTTACGTTCATTCCACTCTATGGTGAGCTCAAGGACAGCTAGCTGGGATTGGGGAATTTTGTTGACACAAGTGAAATCCTTCTGTTTGGAGGCGGAGAGAGTTCCTTTCTCATCAACATAAAGGTAAACAGCCTCAACCCTATTATAAATGGAGCCTAAAGTGCTCTCTGTCACTCAGAGCTGTAACTGGCACAGAGAGAACTACCTGTCTGTCTCTTTGGAATACAGATAAGATAACAAGAGGATCACGACAAAATGAGTTCCAAGGCAAAGTCAGTTGGGATCATCGGAGCTCCTTTCTCAAAAGGACAGGTGAATAAATAGCCCATTTCTCATTCTCATTCTTTTAAATGTATAGCTACAGTATGGATTTTGCTGAAGGTTTTTTAACCTTTAAAATTCATGTCTAATGCTTTTGATGGTCTTTGGCTATGTAAACCTGCAGAGTTATTATCAAAAAGTCACATAATTCTGTGGAACGTTGTTGGAGTTGGGTCACAGCCCAACTTATTCAGCTGTTTTTGATCTTTGCCAAAGTTATTTATATTTGGACAGCTCTCTTGCTTTTTAGTCATCAGGTAATTAAAAATTGAAAATAAATAATTTCATCTCAATTGGAATGAAATCTTAGCACATTGATTCTCCATACTAAAGTGGATTTTTTTTAAGTTTTAGAAAATGGTGGCTTTAGTCATTTAATCAATGCCTAGAAAAACTCATAAATTGTCATCCTTTAGACTCTTAATCTGCATAATTTTAGAGTGATTGCTTTATACACAGTGCATTTTTTCAAATTTAAATGATTCATCTTTGACATTGGACTTCAAAGAGAATTGTTAACTGTTAGGCCGCTTGTCATATAGATGGACTCTTTTATCAAATAACAGAATTCCTTTTCAGAAAACACCAATGGTAACATAATATTTCAGGTTGGCCATTTGGAGCTCCATTCTAATCCTTTTTGATAATTGAATCATAGACATAGAACTGGAAGGTACTTCAAAAGCCATCAGGTTCAACTTCCCTATTTTATAGATGAGAAAACTGAGCCACAGAGAGGTTAAATATCTTGTCCCCTTTCCACTTCGTTTTAATAATAAGAATATTTACATCTTGTACTTTAAGGCTTACATTGTGGTGCATGCATGTATTATTTAAGCACGTATTTGGACAAGACACCTTACATGGACTATCTTCCCTTGCCCGCCCCACTCCCCGCCCTCATGCCCAAGGGAACTTCAGTGCTTCCCACTTCGTAATCTATCAACAAGGAAAGAAGAACACGCTGCCATGTGAATTTTTGAAAACACTGTCTCAGCTCACGTGGATGGTGTTATATAGACAAAGCTACAGTCAGCTGTTCCTGCACTTCACTCAGATATTAGGTCACTAATTAAAATGGGAAAAAAGATGGGAAAAACTGAGAATGAATGAAGAAAGAGCAAATAACAAAGAAACTTTTATGTGATGCTTTCTCTTAAAAGATATTAATGGTCACGAAGAGGAGATGCACCTCCCATTCTCCCTTCTTTGCAGAGGCGGGAGGTCATGGGTGTGGAATTTTTTTTTGAATATTTATTGAATATTTACTATTCAACTCTCTTGATGTGTTGATTAGTTCGGCTAACCTGCTTTTTCCTCTTTCTGTTTTTTCCCTTTCTTTTCTTTCTTTCTTTCCTTCTTTTCTTTTTTCTTTCCTTCTCCCTCCTCTTCCTTCCATCCTTTTTTCCTTCTTTCTTTTAAAAAATATTTAGATAAGAAATGGCTTTCAAGGGAGAGGTAAGGGGAAGAGAAATATTCATAAATGAAAGTAACATAAAACTAAAAGTTATTAACAACAATTTTTTTTAAAAAGACATTACTTTTAGGGGTCCTTCATTCCCCTTCCCCTGGCTTGATTGGTTTTTCTTGTTATCAAGGACTTTTTTTTTTTTTAGTTTTGAATTCTCAGTCATAACTTGCATTTTTCATGGCCAAGCTTAGCATTGGCGAAGATTACAAAATGCAGAAAGCAACAGCTCCTGCTAAAGGAGTGTTGGGATGGACAGCCAAAATTATTTCTATTTTTTTTCAAATACCCCTATAATTCTTTTTTCAAAGGGTAGGGAGATTTACAAAAGGGAATGTTTTGCAGAACCAGGAGGGTTTCTTGAGATCATATATTTAGAACTACAGGGAACATTAGCAGCTTTCTAGCTTCTTCATTTTAAAGATAAAGTAACTAAAGCCTGGGGTGTTGGGTCGGGGTAGAAATATTTGCTCTTGGCCTTAGCAGAGTCAGGACTCAAACCCAGGTACTCTGACTCTACATGTAGCTCTCCTTCCACTGTACCATATTAGGAAAAGTACTAAAAACAGACTGTTCCAATGAAAACACAAAACATAATTCTGTTAGCCTGTTTCATGGAACAGTTTGTATGAAAGATTTAGTTCTACTAAATAAGCCAACTTTGGCTCCCCTGGGTAGGCATGCTGTCATAAATCTACCAGACTGCTTGGACTTCCCAGTCAACTAATTAACAGTAATTTGACTAATTTTCAGATCTGCTAGTGCAGATTAGCACTAATACTAATATATAGGTGATGGGCCTGGCAGATTTTTCTCCTATGCTCTGGGGGCTGGACCCAAGCTAGCAAAAAGTAGATTGATCCAATGAAGATGTCAGCAAAATGGTTGGGGGGTGGGAACCTCTAACACAAATGGATCCAAGAGGGAAAGACCAAAGAGGTGTAAATGGGATTGATTATCTTTGAAATTTGAAAAAAAAATTAAATAAGAAAAAAATACATGCTGTATTTTAGCAAGTAAATGTGATTCTTACCAAATTAGAAGTCTAAACTATGTAGACTGGTTCTAACAATGAGAGATGAAAAGACATTAAGGAAAGGATTGGGACCAAGTGAAGAGTAATAGGTATCAGTTAACTACATTTTCAGGACAAATTTTCAGGAAGGAAAGAAGTTGAAGTTGTGACAGTATCTGGTCGTTTTCCTTGAGAAGAAATATTAACTTATTTGAGTTCATGTGATCTAGTCCTGGGGATTATGCATCTTTATATAGAACTTTGCAGTTGACAATAGTTTTCTTCACTGAAAAGACTTCTTGGTAAACAGACTATTAAGTAAAAGGATAACAACTTAAAGAGAGAATCAGTTACCCATTCTTTTATCCAGGTTGTGCCATTTTTGCAGCATTGTTAAATGTATATTGAATCTCTTGACTTGTTCACAAGCATAAATGTTTTCCAGTTGTACTGTACTCCCCCTACCCCATTTATAATCCATTTTTTTTTGTTTCTTTGTTTTTGTTTTTAGGCAACTGGGGTTAAGTGACTTGCCCAGGGTCACATAGGTAGTGTCAAGTGTTTGGTCTGAGGCCAGATTTGAACTCAGGTCCTCCTGACTTCAGGGCCGGTTCTCTATCCACTGCACTACATAGCTGCCCCTATAATCCATTTTTATACAAAATAAATTAAGCAAATGGACAGACTTGTAATGTCTTCATAGCTGAAATGCGTCTGGGTGCACTCAAGCAAGTTCTACAAGTTCTACAGTTTTTTTTTCCCCCAACCCTAATTCCTGGGAGTGGCTTATAGCATCCCTGGAATTTGTCCTTCCTATTCCTGGCCCACCTTCAGTTTCTAATCAATAGGGCAAGCCCTAACCGCCCTGATCCTAAGCAACTTCTAGAAGGAGGGCTAAGCAGTCAGGGTATCAAGGGTGGGAGGGACAGTGTCTTAATCTTAAAAAGGAGGAGCTCAGAAAAGAGAAAGTGAGATAAGTGAATCTTCTTTTGTAGATCTTGAAAGCCTGAAATTCATGCAGGACGGTCCATTTGTTCTTATTACTGCATGTTCAGTGACAGGATCCAAAGATGTGTTGCTCAGAGTTCTTTCTGCTCTCTGACAATCTCCTGGTTACTTGGGCTCAGAGTCAGGCAAGCTTGGGTTTGAATACTATTTCTTATGCTTACAAGCCTGGTAAGCATTGTCAAATCACTTAACATCTCTGAGTTTCAGTTTCCTCATTTTTAATGTGAGGACAATGACACCTGTGTTATTTTTATATCAGAGGTTGTTTTGGTTTTTTTTTTTGGAGATGGCATTCAAAGGCAGTGCTTGGGAAACTTTAAAGTGTTATATAAATGTTTAGCTATATTAAATCCTTACAGTATTTCTGAACTAAGGCCTCAATATAGAATATGAGGGAGGGATTTACAGTTTAGCAGGGAGAGGATAAAACGTTTTATAGAATTTAGAGCTAGAGAGACTTTAAAAATCATCTAGTACATCCCTTCCTGCATTTTATGGTTGAAATAACTGAAACCCTGTTAGAGTGAAATGACTTGCCCCAGGTCTCATAGGTAATTACATAGAAAAAGGAGTGATTTGAAGAAGTTCCTTTGACTTCAAAGTCGGCACTCCTATCACACCACGTCTGAACCAAATAACCTCATGTTATTATATAAAACCAGCACTACACGTTATTTTGTGCATAACAAGACCAAAACAAAAGAGAATGAGATCTGATTTATGTGACTATTGGTGAAACAAGTTGGGATGACAATCAGGGCCAACCTGGTTTTGCAGGAGCTTGTCTTAATGCTGATTGTCAGAATAAAAATGAGTAATTGCTGTTCCTAGCTCAGTTCCTACAACATGAGTTTGTTTCTTCCTGCATCTCAAGCCCGCTGCATGTTACTGTATGAGATCATTCCCCCGCTGTGTACGCACCAGCTATGGGAATGATGCTAAAAGTTTACCTTCCATTAAATCAGTGTTACCATTATCCAGCAGTGAGCTTGACGGGAGAGGAAAGTCTGAGCACCTAGTTCTGATTTGGCAGCGTGATGCTCTGGACAGAGTAGGACGAGGCAAAAGAGCCATTGTCAGCTCTTGAGATTGGCCTCATTCACCTCCGCACTATTAGCCAACAAAATAAACAGCTATTGATTAACTTGTCTGTTTGACCTCTACCCAATAGTGGGGTAGGGTTTGGCAGGGTTGGGTGGGGAAGAGAGGGAGAAAGATACACTATTAGGAACAAAGCAGTACCTTTCTCTCTAGTAAACAAGCAGGAGTAGACATTCGATCAACTGACAGTGGATGTCTACAGCTTTCTTGAAGTGAACATAAACTCAGTTACAAGAATGTTTCTCGTCTCTGGCCAAGGAAAATGTAGGGTGTAGTTTTGCTGTTTAAAAAACTTCAGTTTAGAGTTACCTTTTACACTCTGGGATTTCTGCTTTTGAAACTCTGAACAAGTTTATATCCTGCTGCTTGTTTTCAAAGCATGGTTGAGATGTCAGTCCATAATCTACTCACTTGAAACCTGTCCCATTGTTAATTTCTCTCTGTCCCTAAATTACTGGAAGTTTACTTACCTTTGTACATGTTGTTGGCCTCATAGTAATGTGCAAACGTCTCAAGGTTAGAGTCTGTCTTTGCATCTCCCGCACCCATGGGTCCAATCACCAAACACAGTAGGGGCTTAGTGAATATATGTAGCATTGGGATCCATTTAAGACAAAATTAAAATACGTGATTTTTAAAAGCTTCTTATCTTTCATTGAAAGGCACGCCCCACAAAATATTGCCTTAACCCATGCAGTTTTATAAACCTATTAACATGTTATAGACAAACCTTGTGTTAAAAATCCACAAACCCTGCTTGTTAAAAAAAAAAACCAAACCAATCATTGGACCAGCTGCCCAATTGTGACACTATTCTTAAAGAACTTATTGCCCCTGTAACATTGTTTCACCTAACAGTTGTTTTTCCCACAGCCAAGGAAGGGCATGGTGTGGGAAATGTTACTATAGTATTTCTCCAGTCTGAGCGACTAGGTGGTACTCAGGAAGATTCATCTTCCTGAGTTCAAATGTTAGCTTCAGGCTCGTACTAGCTGTGTGACCCTGAGCAAGTCACTTAACCCTATTTGCCTCAGTTTCCTTATCTGTAAAATGATCTAGAGAAGGCAATGACAAACCACTCTGGTATCTTTGCCAAGAAAACCCTAAATGGGTCATGAAGAGTCAGACATGACTGAAACAATTGAATAACAATAACAACAACACCTTGATTCTATTCAATATATGGAAAATAGTTTGCTCCACTAATAGAGCGAGACAAGCGATGAGGAAATCAAAGTGCTTCCCCCAAGTCCCTTCACTGTTACACTGAATGTAGTTGGTGGTGAAAGGAAAGCTTTATCTAGATGGTCCTTCAAGTGATTTGAGAGAGCTGAGGAGAAGGTAATGCGTGAGAAGGCAGTAGGAAGAGTTAGATAAATTGCTTTTTTTGTTTTGTTCTGTTTTTTTTTTGTTGGGTTTTTGTTTTTTGGTATGCCAAAGCTATTAAATAAAAAAAAATGTTTGATGCTTAAAAAAATTCCAACACAGCTGTCATTTACTAATGACTCCTCCTGCTCCTCAGAGAACCCTTCCTTGTAATAAAGAAGTATACTGTATATGAACCACTGTGGTATTTGAGTGAAATAGAATATTATCGTGCCATAAGAAATGACAAGTATCAAGAATTCAGAGAAGCTTGAGAAGACATATCAACTGATGCAAGGGAAAAGAAGCAGAAGCTAAAGAATAAATTACACAATGACCACAATAATTTAAAGGAAATCAGCTTCTTTTCCTGCCATTGGCTTTCTTCCCCTCCTTTCTCCCTTCCTTTTTTTCAGGCTTTATTCATGTGAGATGGTGGAAGAAGAGAAAGAAACTCTCCACTTTAATTACTTTTCTACTCCTCTCACAAACATTGGCTAAGAGAGAAAAAAGTGAAGATTGACACTAGATGGGAAGAAAGAAGAGAGCAGTAGGAAGTAGAAAGGGAGACAATTATTAGATTTAATTTAGCAAACTTTTATTAAGTATCTGTTATGTGCAAGACCTTGGGCTGAATGCTGGAATTACCAAGACAAACATGAAACAGTCTCTCCCTTCAAGATCGATATATTGTGCTGGACAGAAACAGTAAACAGAAAAAAAAATAATGAAAGAAGGGAGCTGGGAAGATGAGATATGTGTGTGTTGGGGGCAGGGCGAGTTTGGATTTATAACTATAGGTTGCCACCTGCAATTAAACTAGTCTGGTTTGTTTAGGGGATGAGAGTTTTCCTGTTGAAATGATTCATTAAAGATAAATCTAGATTACTACAGAGGAGGACTGGCCTGCTAATTGACTCTATTTTCTACACATTTAACAACTAAAGTCTTTGAGGGCAGGGGCAATTTTAGCCTTTGTCTTTATACCCCCAGTGCCTAATACAGCGTCTGGTGCATAAGAGATGCTCAATAATTGCTTGTTGGATGATCAGTTGATCACTATAGTCAAGGCAGATGGTTTTGTATAAGCAAAGCCACTAACAGTGGATTGCTCAGTAGCATAGCCTCAGAGGTCTAAAAATTATGGTTCGGAAAAACAAGATATAAAATAGGGCTACTTAAATAGAGTCCTTGAACTTGCTTAAATATTTTGACAACTGCATTTCAATCCAATTGGATCCTTTGTAAGCTTATGTGTTTTATTGTATGTATTTTAAATCAGAGGATAAAAAGCTCCTCCCCCTGAGTCAGGGGAAAGCTACAGGTGGAGTTTACTTTTCTGAAAGGCAAAACATTAGAGAAGTCCATAGGTCTTATCAGACCAACAAAGGGTCCATGGCAAAAGGTTAAGGACCAGGGCAGGTAGGTGGCACAGTGGATAGAGCACCAGCCTTGGATTCAGGAGGACCTGAGTTCAAATCCAGCCTCAGACACATAACACTTACTAGCTGTGTGACCCTGGGCAAGTCACTTAACCCCATTGCCTAACAAAAAAAATATTTAAAAAAAAGGTTAAGGACTCTTGATCTAGAGAGAAATCTAGTAGCAGTACCTTCTACAAAGTTTTGAGGAATAAGAAGTTAGAAGGGCCTCAAATCTGGACTTATATCACATATAAGTGTGGAAAGAAGAAACTGATTACGTTATTGGTCCAAGAAACACACTTCGGTTCTGCCTTTCAGGGCAGGAATAGAGCACCCCCTTATGGACAAAATAGCTTTGCTCTGGTACCATTTGTTGGCATCCAAAGCACAAAAGAATATTTGAGAAAGTAACCCAGTGTGCTTATGATCAAACACATTCATGACTTTCTTTTATTTACTTTGACAGCTAGAAGGGATTCCTACAGAACAGTATAATTTCTATGAAATTTCTTGAATCACCTCCAATACCTTAGTATACTGTTCAAAATGCCATTTTTTCCCCAGTCACACCTATTTTGGCTTCAGCTAATTATCTACTGAGTTGCATTTATATATCCACATAAAATCTTCAGAGAAATTTCTTCACTATTCACTCTCCAAAAACATGAATCTTGAATATTGGGGAAAAAAAAGGTCCCTCTCCTTCCTATGTAAAGATAAGAATGATCATATTCTCATGATTAGTGAGTATAGAGAGAAATCTTGAGATTTCAAAATAGGGCTAACACTAAGCAGTACAGAAAAAAAAGGATCCTTTGTAATCCTATGTTGGGCAGGTCAAATCATGTCAACATGTACTTACTTATTAAAGGAAGCTCCTACTATGTTCCACACATTGTGCTAAATACTGGGATACAAAGAAAGGCAAAAACAATCCCTAGCCTCAAAGGGCTCACAATCTAATTGAGGGAGACAACATGCAAACCTCTATGCACAAGCAATAATAACCAGAATCTATGTAGCCCTGTCTATTCAAGTATTTCAAAAAGTTCATATGCAACAGGTGACATCTATTTCTTTTCAGACTGAGATACAAAAACAATTAGCATCTGAATAAGTTCTTTTTTTTTTCTTTTAAATACTCAGCCACGAGGAGGGGTGGAAGAAGGCCCTGCAGCACTGAGAAATGCTGGCCTAGCTGAAAAACTTAAAGAGCAAGGTAACTGCCATCATGAGCCTGAGATCATTCTGATTTACTTTCCTCTGTGAAGGGGAAACAAGTTCATGTCAATGCATGGTGACTCAGGGTAGATCTAACATTTTCTCCCTTCCAGTTGAAGGGCATAGAGCCTGAGAGACCGTGCACAACTTGAAAAAGAATTATGAACTGGGTAGAAGACAGAAGTATTCAATAAGTGTGTGCTGGATGAATGGATTGTCCAGTGGTGAAGCTTATGATCAGGAAATAGATTCCTGAAAATGACTGCTTGCCCAGGCTCCACATGGGCTGAGATAAAAGATTAGCAGTGGTCAGGACGTTATCTGATGTCCTCTTTGTATAAACCTACCTTTTGTTGTTTGGTTGTTTCAGTTGTGTCCAACTCTTTGCTACACCATTTGGTGTTTTCTTGATAAAAATAATAGAGTGGTTTGCCATTTTCTTCTCTGGCTCATTTTACAGATAAAGAAACTTGAGGCCAACAAGGTTAAGTGATATGCCCACGGTCACGCACCTAAGTAAGTGTCTGAGCCTGGATTTGACCTCAGGTCCTCTCGTCTCCAAGTCTGGCACTCTATCTACTGTGCCACCTATCTGCCCCATAAGCTCACCTGTTTGGGACAGAATACAGGCTGAAGGTTGGGGGTAGATTTTTTTTTTCACCTAGATTTAAGAGAATCAAGCCTAAGGACAATACTAGTCTTATGTTAAGCTTCCTCCTAAAGAACAATTTTTTTTAATGGCACTAACACATGTTTATAAATCTAGACACTTTGCTGTATCCTATAAAGAGCTAACACATTACACTGTAGAACTCTTGAGGTTATATAAGAACCTATATGACCTGCCCAAGGTCATATAATGCAAGCTTTCCAAGCAGCCACCCCTCACTCTCACTGCATGATTAGCCCCCCCCTTTTTTTTTCCTAGTTATACATATAACTCTGATGTTATGTTTTATGGCACTTCTCCTGAGCAACTCTTCATTGTTAATATGCTACAGTCTACTTGTGTCAATCATGCCTCCAAGGCCACAGTACTTGCTAAGAACAGAGCTTTTAGTTCTTGATACCACTCTCTAGAATGTAAAGTCTACACAGAATGGCCAAGTCTATCTTCACGCTTGGGCCTCAAGAATGTGGACAAGCCAAGTGAAGTAGCCTAACATAGTTTTTACTTCGAATTACTCCTTCGAAGAAAAGCCTTGGGCTTGTTTGAGTTGTGATCTTAATTTAGTCACAGGCTATGAACTTCTTTGTAACATTAAAATTTCTATGGTTTAATCAGTTGGGGTACTTTATTGAAACAACCTTTCCACATAATAATTTTATGAATTGTTGTGACCATTCCCCCCCAGAACAAAACAAAACAAAAACAAAAACTAATCCCTGGACAACAACTTTCTGAAGAAGGAGCAACTCAGAATTTAGCTAGGGATGAAAGCCATCTTGTTCTGATATTTTGTACTAAGCAGCTAGGGGGCACAGTGGATAAAGCACTGAATCAGGTGTCAGGAAGACCTAAATTCAAATCCAGCCTGAGATATTTACTTATGTGACCCTGGGCAAGTTACTTAATCTCTGCTTGTCTCAGTTTCCTCAACTATCAAATGAGGACAACAGCACCTACTAAATGCCTGTTCTCTTCCATTCCCATTGTCTTTGATCACTGAAAGAAGTCATCTTGTACTGGACCTTTGGGCCCATACTCAAAAGTCTCTCCAGGACTGAGTACCTGTCAGATCTTGTACTCTAGTGACCTATTCTTCAAGAAGCCAAGGTTATCCTAATGCCATAACGAGGAATCAGACCAAGACTTTAGCTCTGTAAAGCATTCATATTTAGAGTGAGCATGGACACAGATTAAAAATAATAACAACCTATAGGGGGGTGGGGAAGTAATATTTCCTTATAGGATAACAAAAGTAGACCAGGTATTATTGTTTCAGAAAAAAACCCCAGTTCAGTGGCCTTATGCAGTACATTTTAAGGAGTGTAGGTCTAGAGTTATTGAGGGTAACCTGCATTTTTCTTTGTTTGTTTGTTTGTTTGTTTGTTTACATTGCAGAGTGTGATGTGAAAGATTATGGGAACTTGTCCTTTGCTGATGTGCCCAATGATACCCCTTTTCAAATTGTGAAGAATCCAAGGACTGTGGGCAAAGCTAATGAGCAGCTGGCTGAAGTGGTAGCAGAAGTGAAGAAGGATGGGAGAACCAGCTTGCTACTTGGGGGGGATCACAGGTCTCAATTTCTAATTGTCACCAAGTCCCACAGACTTAAGCAGTTATGACTCTACTATTCTAAGAAACAACATCTAGTGCGGATAGCTCTTTAAGGTTTTTACAGTGTTGTCCTCACAACTCTGTGAAATAGGCCATTTCAGTACCATTCCCCTATTTTTCGATGAGAAAAAATGAGGGGTTGAAATGGTTTCCTCATTGTCTCAGAGCTCTTAAGTGCTGGAACCAGAATTTGACTCCATATATTTTGGCTCGAAGATCAAGTGCTTTTTAAACTCTAAACATGATGCCAAGAGAAGCTGGGAAGTTAATATTGAGCAGAAATCACTAAGTGAATAGGGATGGCAACCAAGCATTTATATAGCACCTACTATGTGCCAGGGCAACTAGGTGGTGCAGTGGATAGAACACTGGCCTTGGAATCAGGAATACTCATCTTTATGAGTTCAAATCTTGCCTCAGACACCTACTAGCTCTGTGACCCTGGGCAATGTTCATATTTTTTAAAAGATTATCTCAAATCTCTTGTTTATTAAACAAGCTAAAAGCCAAACCCAAGCTAGCATTTCTAAACCTTCTTGGAGAGGTGATGGTCAGTTTAGGATCATAGGATTTAGAACTGGAAGGGACTTACTAGACCAACCAGATAATTGTACCGACGAGGAGACTAAAGTCCAGAGAAACTGAATGAATTGCCCAACTTCACATAGTTAATAAAAAGAGTTGAAAGCAGACCCTAGATCCTCTGACTTCAAATCTGACTTGAAATGACCACTTTACCCGATCTAAATTCCTTTTGAATGTCCATACATCACAGGACAGATGGGCTGTAACTTGGAGGTTTTCTTGTCTAATTTCCTCATTTTACAGATGAGAATATTGAGACCCAGGGATGTTAAGGGTCATGCAAGTAGTAAACAACAGGGTTGGGATTCAAGTCCAGTCTTTGGATTCCAGTGCCCTTTCCACTGTTATACCTCGTCTCTTTGTTGCTGAAGGATAATTAAATTGTAACAAGAGGGAAGTGGACTTGAGACTTCCGTATTTAAGCAGATCCCTTACTTTTGCCCAGGATATTTCCTGATTCTTCCATCCACGTAGATGTCCCAGGACAACTGAGGTGAATAGATGTTAGAGAGATTGATAATGTCAGAGCGATGGATGATTACACCAACAACATGAACATGGCTATGGTCACCCATTGAGTTGGAAGCGAAGAATAAAAAATTTAAGCATGGAATTTCCAAGTGGAATAGGACAAGAGGTCATCCAAGCTACATGGGCTCTTCTGGATACTCAGAGCTGTCCATCTTACACTGCAAAAGTTGAACTACTTAGCATTTACAGGGAAGTAGAAAGTACAAGTTTAATAAAAGCTATTTAGGTTTTCAAGGCTCATAACATCTATAGATTCACTCTTAGGTAACTCACATTAGGGACTATAATATATATTAAGCAAGGTTGGATGGGATTAGACAAAAAAAGCAAAGAGTTAACCCGAATATAAGATTGTCACAGAACAGTTTATTTGCATGGTGGATATTCTTACAAACCCATTTTCCCTAACTCAATTTTGCTGAATTTTAGCTGATACTATATTTGGACAGGATTGAAAAAACAAAACAAAACAAAACCCGCCATCACACAATGTATTAAGTTTAGGGTCAACATCAACATAAGTAATTACTATTTAGCACTAAGCATCATGGGTAAATGACATTGCTCCACACTATTATAACTTTTTTTTTGAACATCATTGTGATGTTCAAAGGAAAGGTTAGTGGGATCTTTTAAAAAGTAAACATATCACACACTGTGTAAAGATGGTGTAATCTCTGTGCTTACACAACTTTTCTGTTTCCAAAGTTTGGCGATTGGAAGTATCTCTGGCCATGCCAAAGTTCATCCTGATCTCTGCGTCATTTGGGTAGATGCACATAGTGATATCAACACTCCTCTGACAACCACAACTGGCAACTTACATGGACAACCTGTGTCTTTCCTTATGAAGGAACTAAAGGGAAAGGTAAACAAATATATTTGAATTCTGTCATCTGAATTATTTTTAGAAACTTGGACAGATGGAAGGGAGAGCTACTGTCCCTGTACCGTCTTGTTTTAAGAAGGGCTCTCAACTGCCATGGTTTTTACAATGAGAGTTAGGCGGCATAATGGTGGGCCTAGAATGAGGAGGACCTGAGTTCACATTAGCTGTGTAACTCTGGGCAAGTTAATTAACCTCTGCTGCCTCAGTTTCCTCATCTGCAAAATGGAGATAATAATAGCACCTCTCTCCTAGTGTCAGGATCAAGTGAAATAATATTTATGAAATGCTTAGTACAGTGCTTTACACATAGTAGATGCTTAATAAATGCTCTTCCTGCCCCCTGCCCCCAATGTTTAATCCAGGTGGTTCAGACTTTTGCAAGTCCAGATGCATCCTCCTAAGTACTCAGCCCATTCCATGAGATCTGTCTCAGATGGTCCACTTGGATTAGATGTATGTAGATTTATATTAAGGTAGCTTTAAGACCAATTGTGTGTTCAGTCTCTGGAAAGTGTTATTCCTAGGAAGAATTATTCCTTCTCAAGGAACTCATGAGATGGAATTACATATGGATTTAGTTTTTTGTTGCTAATGCTAATTAAAACTTCTTTGACAATATTAATGGTACAATTATTATTGAATTTTATACTTCACATGAAGCTGGTCTTAATTCATTTAAATAGGAATAATACACTGACAGAAATGTAGTGATACTAGATGCCCAGAAGTGAAGTCTTATAGACTGGCAACCAATCTATTCGACCAAATCTGCAAAACATCTGATTAATGGGGCAGCTAGGTGCCACAGTGGATAGAACACTGGCCCTGGAGTCAGGAGGACCTACCTGAGTTTAAATCCAGCCTCAGACACTTGACACTTATTAGCTGTATGAGCCTGGGCTAGTCACTTAATCCCATTGCCTAGCAAAAATAAATAAATGAATGAATGAATGAATGAATGAATGAATGAATAAATAAATAAATAAATAAATAAGATTAATATGGATGAAACCAACTGATTGTCAGGGTGGGTCTATGCAGAATAGATGACTTTCTATAAAAAATGCTTTTAAGGACCACCCAAAAACCCAATTGCTTCAAAATAGCTGCCATAATAATGCTTGGATTCTATTACTCACTGTTTTTTTTGGTTAAGGGATTGTGCCCAGAAAGTCAAATTTAAAATCCACTCTAGTGGGGCAACACTTTGGACCCCTAGCACTAAGACATTCATATGGGCTAGAAGATAAGACAGAATGGGTTAGTTTATCAATCCACTAGTTGTCACATTGGAAAACAGGTCCCTGAAGGAACCAATGGGATGTGTAAACTTTGATGAAGGTGATGAAGTGTGTGGGATTCAGAATAGTTAGTGCCACAGAATTCCTGAAGCCAGAGTCCATGAAGGAGTTAGAAATATTTCTCACATACTATAGTTTAGGACATACTATTCTTTTATACATACATACATACATGCATATATGTAGCATTTTTGCATGCTAAATATAATCTTGTCTATTGTACTTATAACAGCAAACATGTTTGATTATGAAAGAACAATAAAAATAAATAGAAGCATCATTTTTTTAGATGCCTGATATTCCAGGATTCTCTTGGGTGACACCCTGCTTATCAGCTAAGGACATTGTATACATTGGATTGAGAGATGTGGATCCTGGTGAACAGTAAGTGTATTTATTTCTTAGTCCTACTATTTATTATAGTTTTTTCTGTTGATAATTTAATAATCCCAATTTAGGTAGATACACAATTCTTTGGATATAAATGTTTCATCTTTTTAATTGTATGGAACTCAAAAACAAAAACAAAAACCCAGGCAAAGGTGGAAACAATCCTAAGCCATCCTTTCATTCAAAGTAACTTAAAATTTTTCTTAAAAATGTAGATTTACTTCTATTCACCTAAGAAGAGAACAAATGCTTCTGGGATACTTTGATGAAATCTGTGATCTTATTGTATATGCTCCCTCTAGTGGTGCAATCTTCTGACTCCATGTGACAGGTCTATGACCAGTAAGTTTCAAATAGGTCTCCACTTAGCATGCTGGGCATTGCTCTCTATCCTTCATTGTATGAAGTAACAGTAGAATACAAGACTGGCCAGTGGCTTATCCTTCACTCTTGCTGAATGACTGGCCCCATTTTTTTTTAACATGTCTGATAATATATTTAATGCCATTGCTTCTGGACAAATCTTAATTGGTAATATGTTGTAACCCACTTGTGCCCATCATGAATTTCTCCACTGACCTAGATCAATTATCTTTTCTTTTTCGCAGTCGCATCCTTAAAGATCTGGGTATTAAATTTTTTTCAATGACTGAAGTGGACAAACTTGGAATTGCCAAGGTGATGGAAGAAACACTAAGTTACTTAATAGGAGGGTAAGACTTCAATTTTCTGTGATGTAAATACTACTATTTATGATGTTGTTATATACAGGAACTGCCATTATTAAATATACAAGAATCAATAGAGGAAATCCTCTTAAGAAAACAACTTTTGGGGCAGCCAAGTGGCACAGTGGCCCTGTAGTCAGGAGGACCCGAGTTCAAATGTGGCCTCACACCAAACACTTGACACTTACTAGCTGTGTGACCCTGGGCAAGTCACTTAACCTCAATTGCCTAAAAATTTAAAAAAATTAGAAAACAACTTGACTTCGGATAAAGCTACTGAAATGTATTGGGCTAATAGGTACAGTTCCTTATCTACTAAATGTTAACATCTTTCAACGGTTTTTTCCTTCCACTTGAAGGAAGAAAAGACCAATTCATCTGAGTTATGATGTGGATGGATTGGACCCGTTGACGACCCCGGCTACTGGCACACCCGTCCCTGGAGGCCTGACTTACAGAGAAGGTCTCTATATTACAGAAGAAATCTGTAGAACAGGTATGCCCAATATCTGAGAAAACAGAAAATGTAAACTTAGGACAAATAAAAGCATCTAGGGGGGAAAGGGATTAAAGTTAGCTTACAGAAAAGGTATTACACATTTCTCCACTTCAGAATTGTCAGTATATTAAAAAAAACATCCAGCATCTTGTGTATGATACTACTAAGAATATTGTTATATTGTTGTAGCATGCAAAAACTTGGCAAACTGTCCTCTTCTTGTTTTTACTCCCTTGGTTAGTGTCCCCTCAGCTTTTTATTGAATTTAAAATCTTGACATCTTACAAAATGTATTTTTACCACCTGTTGTTACAGGGCTCCTCTCGGGATTAGACATAATGGAAGTCAATCCATCCCTTGGGAAAACACCAGAAGAAGTAAATCGGACAGTGAATACTGCTATTGCATTAACTTTGTCCTGCTTTGGAGTAGCTCGAGAGGGCAATCACAGGGCCAATTGACTGTAAATAAGTCTGAATTATTCTGAAAAGGAATTGGGGGGGGGATGGAGGAGGGAAGAGAATTGATATTCAATGCTGGCTAACAATAAGCAACTCTAAAAATTGTGCTTAAGCCTACACTTTCCCCAAAGCCTTTTGCCAAATTTTAACAGGTAGATAATTAAAGTTCTAATCTCTTCTTTAGTGTGAAATCAAAGTATTTTTGCTTGCCCTTTAGTTACAGTAACCTTGGGGAAGACAAATGTAAACTTGAGGCTAATTCATTAATTTAGCTGGTTTAACAACATAAATGTGTATATAGTGAAAACTGGTAACAGGAGGCAAACAGCATTAATCTGTTAATTTGCCATGTGTGCCTGTACGTAAAATATCTGCTAGAGACCAAACTTAAGCTAATACTGAACAGGTAACAACAAGGACCATATTCATCTGAGTTTTTAGTTCTTTTTATAAGGAAGAATAGCTTCATAGACTCTATGCCTTCCCATTCTTCCACCAGTAATGCTGAAGATTTATTTTTATATGAGATCTTAACCTTCTGAAATAGTTGACTGAATAAATTTATGTCACTAAGTCTGTGTAGGGAAATGCCTTGTTATGAAGTTTCTTTCTTTAAAATGTATGACTACTAATAAAAATACTTGGTCAAATTTATTTTAACACTGAAAAGTAAAATTTACTTTCATCTTTGAAAACTGGGGACGGAGAACTTTTATGAGAACATTTAACATTTGATAATATGCATCCATTTAAAGTAGTGTAAACACTTCTAGGAACATTCTTTCCACATTATCATTTTCATTTTGTCTTTATTCTACTCAATGCCCATGACATGTGAAGGACTGTATCATACCAGCCTTATCATGAGAACAATAAAGTATCATCTCTCACCAAAACTATCACCCTTGAGTAGTCATGAACTGCAAAATACCAAAGATCTTCCCGCCCCCCTCTTCCCCCCCCCCCCGCAAGAAAGATTCCCTATCACTTCTAGGGAATTAAAAAACAAAAAAAAAGCCCAGATTCTACAGTATATACCACACACTTTGATGATTTCACATGAACACTTCAAACATTTGGGGAATATAGTCATTTTTGGTTTCCTAAACGGCCAAACTCCCGGATGCTAAGCCTGTGGGGTTCAATCTTATGATTTCACTATGAAAATCTGTTTACTTTTTTAGAGGCAAAATGGGGTGGCAGAAAGAGTTCTGAACTTGCTGTCAGGAAACCTGAATTCAAATTCTGGCTCCAATATTATCTAACACTTCTATGGCCTTGGGCAAGTTGGACTGTCAGTTTCCTGTGAAATGAGAATAATTCTTGTATACTACCTGCTTTAAAGGGATATGAGGGAAAAAAACAAAACAAAAACCTTTATAATCCTTAAAGTATAAGTATATATAAATCATCATTGTTTTACAAAATAACCTTGGGGAAAATTGAGACCCTATATAACACATTATAGGTCCAAGAATATCTTTTTAGGGTATTAGATTCCATTTCATCAATGGTTCTTTCAAATTTAGTCACTTTGCACTAAGAAGTAAATTCAAATCAGCAATTATACTAATAAAATTTCTTTAATTAAACAGTATTTTACATTTCTTACAAGTACTGGTTCCATTGTTTGCTTGTCAAAGTTAAACTGCATACAGCACAAAATCCAACAAAATTTTCATCATACAAATATAAAGGTTTCAACATTATAAAAATGTAATTAAGACTAGGCAGTAGAGTCATACCATTATCTAGTTGCGCAGGTCAACCTTGAAACTTAAAAGCACAGATTATGCCTCTTTGAAACATGATTTTGTTTGCAACGTCCATGAACTGATTAGATTTTATTCTCTTTGGTGCCTTCCAGTCACTCATAGAATAATAACTTTGGGTGCATGGATAAAATTATTGCCAATTTATCTTCTTTATTGGAAATAATAGAATATACAAATGGAAATTTACAATGATCTTTTTTTTTAAAAAAGAATAAAAAACTGTTAACCCTTCCTTACCAAATACAATTAACCAGAAAAGGAGTTTATACAATTACCAATTAAACTGGTTTAGAAGAAGACTAAGGGGAAGGAAATAAGAATTTATATAGTGCCTACTATGTTTCAGGCACTGTGCTAAGTGTTTTATTGTTGTGTGCCCTTAAGACAATCCAGTTTTGAAGATTGAATATGACACTGAAAATAAAAATTAAAATAAGCAACTAATAGATGGAAGACTTGAAGAGCCTAATAAATTAAATTCAACTCATCATTACCACCACTATGTTCCCAGAGTGCGACCAATAAGTTATTCTGGATAGCATAACACAATTCTTCCTCTATTCTCTTGAGGTAAGTCCAGATAAGGATGTGGTAATGCTAGATGTCCAGTAGATCTACCACATGAATAAAAATTAATATGATTCTGAATTTGTTTTACTCTCTTCTAGTATGGTGCTATGCAACAGAAAAGTTTTCAGAGCAACCGGGTTTTTCTCGCCATTTCCAAAGTAATCAGTGCTCCAATTTTCACCATGGGGCCATTGGCTTTATTGAGTTACTGGCAAAGCCACATTGACTGTCACCTGAGTAGGCTGAGGTGCTGGGGACCCACTGTTTATGGTTTGTGGAGGTACTGCAGCCGGTTCCATTTTGCTGATATGTGTTATGAATCGCAGTCTAAGTTTTAAAGCTGGTCTTAAATTGCAGATAATTTTCTCTACCTAAGAAAAGGGAATATATACAAAAACATTAGATGTCATTTAAACCCATACATTTTAGACAAAGAACTACAACCTATTAAGTAATATATTTTAAGAGGCTAGATCTGTATATATCCTTAATCACCTGACCAGGAAGAGGAAGGATGAAAGTAATTTTCTCTCCAAATAAAAGCTGAGAGAAAATATTCTTCTTGCCACCTAAAATACTAAAATAAATAAATATATATATATATATAACCATGAAAAACCAGGCAAAATTACAAATGACTTCACTGTCTGTCAGGTTTGTCTTTTTTATAATTTTTATTCATAATTTATAGTTTTTAATAATGCCATTTTCCTGAGAAAATGGACAAGGCTTCATATTCTACAAGGTCCCTAACAAAAATGTATCATAAACAAAATTTGTTTAGCAAATTATTTATTTGGTGTTGTTTTGGCTTAGTATTTAAATGAAATGGGAAATTTTTATTCATAGCACTATGCCACTGTGTCAAAATTTTATCTATTGCTTCTCTTTAAATCCAACTCAAACTCTATTTTCCTTCTGTATTTAGCTCAACTTCCAATTATGTTTAGAAATATGTTCCTATCATATTTCTTCCTTTCCCCATCCATCTTTTTCCTAATTTGAAAGAAAAACTACTTCTAACCTGCTTTAGAATATAAAATCAGTTTCACAGCTTTTCTCAGTTTTAATGGCATTTGCTTAGTCTTTAAAAAGGCAGACAGATAAATAACAGTGAGAGGGGAAGAGATCTAGACTCTGCTTAATTACCACTCTCTTCATTCTTTTATCTGTCTTCCATCCCTGCAAGAAAAGACACTGCCAGAAAATAGTGAAAGAATGAGTCAACATTCAATTAAAGAAAAACTACCTTAACTGGCTACATATACAACACACCCAGGCTTTGAGAGAGATACAATAATAAGGTAAAGACTCTACCCTTGAGAATTTAGAATCTAACAGATAAAACACGTAACAATTCCAGTACAAACTAAAGTGATGTAGGTGCATAAGAAAGAAATAATATGACTTCATAGCTCTCAACAGGCTAGGTGGAAGGGGCTCTAACAGAAGCAGGAATCAGGAAAAACTTTTTTGAACTGGGGAGAGTGAGATTTGAACTGGCCTTTGCAAACGGCTAAGATTTTAGCAAGTGCAAAACTTAGGGGAGGGTATTCCAGTTACAGGAAATAGGGATTCAGATGTGTTAAATTAAGTAAGAGTGTCTGGGTGACAATAATTCATTTTGGCTAAAGTTAAGGTGAGAAGTACAAAGTCAAGGAAAGGAAGGTTGGTGGAAGACTCTGAATTAACGAATTCAACAATTATTAAGTACATATTGTATATAAGGACAATGCAAAATCTTACAGTATTTTGGGAACAGGAGAAAGAAGAGATCAAGACATACACAAATCAGTCAGTTCCAGGCACTGCTAAGTGCTAAGGATGTAAAGAAGGGCATAAATACAATCCTTTCATTCAAGGAGCTCATATTCTAATAGAGGAGATATCATGCAAGTAACATATACACGTAAGACATATGAAATGAAAATGAAGAGTCTCAGAGGGAAGGTGGAAATAAGGGGCATACATGGGATGTGGTATGAACACAGAAACAAGACTTGACAACACACTGGATACATGAGATGAATGAGTGAAATGGCAAAGGAGAGATCCAAAAAAAAGTGATCTAGAAACATTTGAGAAGAGATATTTAGCTGCAGAAGGGAAAGAAAGCTTCATAGGACATAGTACCTAAGCTGAATGTCATCTGGTTTAAATGTAGGGTGTAGGAAGGGGTGTAATCTAAAACGATCGGAAATGAAAGTTGAAGTTAGATGGCCAAGGGCCTTAAACATCAATCTATGGAAACAATATTTTATCCCACTGAACATTTATGATGAGGAGAATGATACAGCCAAGGTCAGTCTTCCAGGGTGTACCTAAAAGAAGAATTAAGATCGGAGGCAAGACAAAGGGGTTTGCCCTTTGACAGGCAATAGGAAATCAGTGAACTTTTTTTTTTATTAGTGGAATGACATGATTAAGGTTGCGCATTAAGAAGATTAATCTGCCAACAATGTATAGCAATAATCAGGGTTGGTGTGGTGACAGATTGAAGGTAGAGAGATGTATTAGGAAGCTATTATAATCGTGTAGGTGAAAGGTAATGCTAGTCTGAAGGAGGATGGCAGAGGGAATAAAACAACAGATGAAAGATAGAATTTGAGAATGTATTTCTGGAGAATGAAATACTAAGACGATATGAGAGACAAAGAGGAAGGAATCAAAGATGACAATCATGGATGACTGAAAAAAGTTGCAGTGCACAAAAGAGAATCTGAAAAATAAATACGCCCACAGCAGCTCCTTTCCCCAGGCAGTTTCTTTAACATCTCTCAGTCTCAATTTCCTCATCTGTAAAATGAGGATAATAATAGCACCTACCTCCCAGGGTTGTTGTGAGGAGCAAATGAGGTAACAAATGGACTTTAAAGGGCTATATAAATACTAGCTATTACTATAATTATTCTCCTCTACCTACAACTGGCTCAGAGGTGATTAAACCTAAATATGAAACCAGAAAAGCATTTCTAAACATAAAATATTATCTTATTGTGTACCATTTCCTCATCTAACAAACACATTTTCTGGGTCACAAAGATACTAGATTCATATTTTCTATTCCTCTCTAAACAAGTTAAGACTAAAAAAAAAACCCAAAAAATAAAAAAAACAAGTTAAGACTAGTATTATGATAACAGAGATGCTCACAAAATTCACTTTCTGCTTTTTTTTCCTGTTAAAAAGAAATAAGGGGTAAAAATAATAAACAGGTGTGGATATCCTGCACAAAAAACAAAACAAAACAAAAACCCATACCAAAGCCTCCCAAGCACATTCTACCTCCCAATTTCCTTACACCTAAATAATTTCCTTAAAATTTCATTTCAACATAAACTAATTTGCTTTGGACTTATAGCTACTCTTTTAATAAAACAATGCAGAAAAAAAATTTATATTAGCATACTTCCCTAATTCTGCACAGCAGACATTAGAAGGGAATACATTCTCCAGGCAAGGGACAAAGCCAGAGCAAAAGCACTAAGCTGGGAAGTCCTGTGTAAAGTACTAGTAAGAAAGCCAGCTGGGCTAGGTAATATAATCTGCACTGCATTATAAAAAATCTTTTATTTTGTGGTCAATAGTCCAGAAATGATTCACATAAAATATTACTTACCTGGTCTTTCACACTGTCACCAGTAAACATATACTTCATATGATATAAGAAATCACAGATGGGATCCATGTAATGTAAGTGGGTGCTGCACTGATCTACATTCAGAAGCATATCATAAAATGCCACTCCAATCTGTTTAATAAGCAAAGATAAGCTGATAAAATGTCTGGAATTATTTGACAGATCTATTTATTCCAGCTCAAATTATAGCATAAGTGTCCAGAGATAAAATACATGTTTTAGAATATCTGTATTCTAGTGAGAGTTGAATCTATACTGTGATAATTCAAAGGATCTGTGATCTCCTCAATATGGAAACTCCTTTAAATGGTATGGATCACTACCCATTCAAATGTCATTGTATGTGACTCTCATCCACGTTCATCCACAAGGGATTCAACCTTCTGGCTGAATGAAGTCTCAGGGTTCTTCCAGTAACATAACCAAAACAACTCCTTTTCAAGTCTTGATATAACACCTCACCTCTCAGGCAAAATTCCCCACAGAAAGTATGCAGTAGCCTACCCACACACCTACATGCAACTTTCTCCATTTCCTTTTGGCTGAGCTGCAACTTTAATTCTTTGGAGACTGATATTCCATGGCTTGTAGTCATACGTCATCAGTGATGCTGAAAAGACAGCTCTTTCATTCAGTGAGAAACAAATCTGACCTAACAGGACTTCGTGTTATGAAATCAATTTCAGACAATGGCTCTGGAAAGGTATACATTATTTGAAAGAAAAAAGAATATAATTTGAAATGCGGTATAAGTGCATCCATAATACTACAGTACTGTTTATGACAGGATTTGGCTTTCTTTCTTTTTGTATAATATTTGTTATTTCCCCTATTTTTCCATTTTAAAAAGTACTGTAAAATTGTTTTCCCACATTTCATTACCGTGTAATTTAAAAAAAATAAACCAGAAAAACTTCGGTAAAATAATTACAGAATCAAAGAATCTAAGAGCTTGATGGGAACTCAAGAGTCTACCTAGTCCAACTTGTACCTAAGTAAAAATCCCTCCACAACACCTGATAAGAAGATATCTTATCTTTGCATTTCTGCAGACAAATTTTAAAATGTCGTCAACATCTCCCCCTGAGATACAACAAGCTGGAAAGGTCATAGAATATTTTTGCCAACACGATAATAATGTAGTGGATTAGATATAATGACCTCACGTCCCCCTTCTAGCTCATGTTAGTAGTTCCCCATTGCTGGTTTAGGCCAATCATAGTTACTCCATGTACTTTTTTGGTTTTGTTTTATAATTTCTTGATTTCTCATAGAATCATTAGGGTCCATTTGCTTCATTCTAATTTTTAAGGAATTATTTTCTTCAGTGGGCTTTTGGACCTCCTTTTCCATATGGCCAATTCTACTTTTTAAGGCATTCTTCTCATTGGCTTTTTGGATCTCTTTTGCCATTTGGGTTAGGCTATTTTTTTAAGGTGTTATTTTCTTCAGTATTTTTTTGGGTCTCATTTAGCAAGCTATTGACTCATTTTTCATAACTTTCTTGCATCACTCTCATTTCTTTTCCCAATTTTTCCTCTATTGCTCTTACTTGCTTCTCAAAATCCCTTCTGAGCTCTTTCAAGGCCTGAGACCAATTCATATTTTTCTTGGAAGCTTTGGATGTAGGAGCTTTGACGTTGTTGTCTTCTTCTGGTTGTATGCTTTGATCTTCTTTGTTACCAAAGAAAGATTTTTTGCGCAGTTTGCTCATGATCCTAGCCAATTACTTGAGTTTTAAACTCTTGTTAAGGTAGGGGTCTGCTTCCAGTGTAGAGAATGTATTGTCCCAGGCTTCAGGGGTTTTGTGCACCTGTTTTCAGAGATACTTCTAGAGACTTGTAAGTTTTCAGTTCTTCCAAGGTGGCATGATCAAGGACAAGGTGTTTACTCCTTTCCTGGCCTGTGCTCTGGTCTATGAGTGACCACAAGCACTCTTTTCTGTCTTGGAACCATGAGGAGGATTTCCTCTCCCCAGCCACTACATGCTCCACCACGCCAGCGCTCCTCCGCACCCCAGGACCGCCACCCAGAACTGTGACCCAGATCCAAGCACGGGCAAAGCACAAGAATCCTGCACTAGAAAAGAGATCCCTGCTATCCTCCTCTGATCAGCCACTTGATTCCCCCTTAGTCTATGGGCAAGGAAGCTCGGGAAGCAGCCACTATTTGTAATTGGAGGGGTTTAGGGGTGAGCTCAAGCGAGTCCCTGCTTTTACTCTGCCATCTTGGCTCTGCCCCAGTTACTCATGTACTAAGTGACTATCCTGATGCCCTCTAGCTCTGATGTCTAGTTTCCTAGATATCATATGTACAAAAAGAAGTTGAGAAAAAAGCCACATATTACCTCTATCATGCACCGAGTTCTCTCTTGCTGAAATCTTTGTAAAAAAGGTCCTACAAGGTGGTAAACATACAGTAATTGGAATTCAGTCTTTACTATGGGAAGGAGTGCTTCAGTGAGGAATCTAGAATTCAAAGATAAATGGACAAATATTCAGTAAGTGCTCTGTCCTGGGGAGACTTTGTGTGTATAGAATATATGCGAAATCAACACAAGGTCGTTTTGTCACGGGCAGCACTAGCAGGGCATGGGGGTAAAAAACAACAGTAAAGGCTTCATGTAAAAATTGGTGCTTGAGCTGACTCTTTAAGGAAACAAAGGATTCTGTGCAGCAGGCATTAGAAAGGAGTACCTACTCCAGGCATGGGAGAGGGCAAAAGAATAAAGATACTGAGATAGACTGGCATGTGTAAAGTACTAATAAGAAAGCCAGCTGGACTAAGCCAGAATGCAGGAAGGGGAATGATGACTGATAAAGCTGGAGAGAGAGGTTGGGATCAGGTTGTAAAGGCTCTTTAATGCCAAACAGAGGAGTTTCTATTTGGGTTTACTGAAGCAGGGGAGTGACTGGTGAGGCATATATACTTAAGGAAAAGTAACAGTTGTGAGGAATAGAAGAGGTAAAAAAAATTGAGGTAGGGAGTCCAACTAGAAGTTAAGCATGACTAAAGTGGTGACTGATGAGTACTAAGACAGTGGTGGATAGAACAGATGTTGCAGAGGTAGAAAGATGGACAAGATTTGGTGACTGAATGGATATAAGAGGCAATAGTGAGTGAGGAATCAAGAAATGACAAAGAGTGCTCCAATTTTCCCACATCTTCTCCAACATTTATCATTTTCCTGTTTTGTCATGTTGACCAATCTGATAGGTGTGATATGGTACCTTGTTTTGTTTTGATTTTCATCTCTCTAATCATGACTATAGATGGCTTTAATTTCTTCATCTGAGAACTGCCTTTTCATATCCTTTGACCATTTATCAATTGGGGAATGATTTGTATTCTTATAAATTTGACTTAATTCTCTATGTATTTTAGAAATGAGGCCCTTATCAGAGAGACTGGTTATAAAAATTCTTCCCCAATTTTCTACCTTCCTTCTAATCTTGGTTGCATTGGCTTTGTGTAAAAACTTTCCAATTTAATGTAATCAAAGTTATCCATTTTGCTTTTCATAATATTCTCTATCTCCTGTTTGGTCATGAATTCTTCTGTTCTCCATTAATCTAACAGGTAAACTATTCCTTGCTCTCCCAGTTTGCTTATAGTATAAGCCTTTATATCTAAATCATGAACCCATCTTGACTTTACTTTGGTATATGATGTGAGGTTTTGATCTATGCCTAGTTTTTGCCATTCTCTTTTCCAGTTTTCCCAGCAGTTTTTGTCAAAGAGTGAGTTCTTGTCCCAGAAGCTGGGGTCTTTGGGTTTATCAAATAATAGATTTCTGTAGTCACTGACTACTGTGTCTTGCATACTTCACCTACTCTGCTGATCTACCACTCTATTTCTTAGCCAGTACCAAGCAATTTTGATGATTCCTGCTTTATAATACAATTTAAGATCTGGAATAAATGCCAGTTATTATTACAACAAGTTTTGAAAGCTGAAAAATGGGGACAATCAGTTCACCAAAATTACTTTCCTCTTAGGTCAGGGTTTGAACAATTATGGGGAAGCATCATGATACCAAAAAAAAAAAAAAGACCACCAGATTTTGAGTCAAAAGATCCAGGTTCAATTTCTGATTCTGCTCCACCAACAATGAATTAGTGTTCCACTTTTCCCACACCTGCTCCATCATTGATCATTTTCCTGTTTTGCCATATTGGCCAATCTGATAGGTGTGATGTGGTACCTCAGAGTTGTTTTGATGAGCATTTCTCTAATCAATAGTGATTTAGAGCATTTTATCATATGACTATAGATGGCTTTAATTTCTTCATCTGCAAACTGCCTGTTCATATCCTTTGACCATTTATCAATTTAGGAATGACTTGTTTTCTTATAAATTTGACTTAATTCTCTATATATTTTAGAAATGAGGCCCTATCAGATTGACTGGTTGTAAAAATTCTTTCCCAATTTTCTACTTTCCTTCTAATCTTGGTTGCAGTGGCTTTGTTTGTGCAAAAACTTTTCAATTTAATGTAATCAAAATTATCCATTTTGCATTTCATAATGTTCTCTATCTCTTGTTTGGTCATGAATTCTTCTGTTCTCCATAAATCTGACAGGTGAACTATCCCCTGTTCTCCCAGTTTGCTTATAGTATGAGCCTTTATATCTAAATCATGAACCCATTTTGGTATATAGTGTGAGATTTTAGTCTATGACTAGTTTCTGCCATATTCTTTTCCAGTTTTCCCAGCAGTTTTTGTCAAATAGTGAGTTCTTATCCCAGAAGTTGGGACCTTTGGGGTTATCAAACAGTAGATTACTATAGTCATTGACTACTGTTTCTTGCATACCTAACCTATTCCACTGATCTACCACTATTTCTTAGCCAATACCAAGTAGTTTTGATGATTGCTGCTTTATAATACAATTTAAGATCTGGAACAGCTAGGACACCTTCCCCCTGCATTTCTCTTCTGGGAAAATTAGAACACTAACGCATTGTTAGTAGAGTCGTGAAATGATCCAACCACTTTGGAGAGCAATTTGGAACTATGCCCAAAGAGCTATAAAAATGTGCATACCCTTTGACTCAGCAATAGCACTTTCTAGGGCTATATCCCAAAGAGATCACACAAATGGGAAAAGGATCCATATGTGCAAAAATATTTATAGCAGCTCTTTTTGTGGTGGCAAAGAATTGGTAATTGAGGGACTGCCCATTAATTGGGGAATAGTTGAACCAAGTTTCGGTATATGAATGTAATGGAATACTATTGTGCTATAAGAAATGATGAGCAGGCTGACTTTGAAAAAACCTGGAAAGACTTGTATGAACTGATGCTGAGTGAAGTGAGCAGAACCAGGAGAACGTTGTACACAGTAACAGCCATGTTGTGCAACCACTAACGCTGATAGACTTAGCCCAAGGGCTAAGACATTTCTAAAGTCTCATGATGGAAAATGCTATCCACTTCCAAAGAAAGAACTATGGAGTTTGAATGCAGATCAAAGCATACTATTTGCTATTTTAGTCTTCTGTTTTGTTTCCTCTTTCTTGTGGTTCCTCCTATTGGTACTAATTCTTCCTTACAACATGACTAATGTGAAAACATGTTTAATAGGAATGTATATGTATAGTCTATAACAGACTGTGTGCCATCTTGGGGAGGGGGTAGGGGAAGCAGAAAAATTTAAAACTCAAATGTTTATGAAAGTGACTGTTGATAAATTAAAATAAATTAAGAAAAAAAAAAAGAATTGACATTAAGGATGCAAAACAGGCTGACGAGAATGGTGGTCCCCTCAACAAAAATAGAAGTCTCAAAGAGGGGTAAATTTTGGGGAAGAAAACCAGACTTCAAATTCAAGAGAGATCTGAATTAGAATTTCAGCTAGCTACATATGACTTGATGAGTCACTTCAACTCTTTGAAGTCTCAGTGTTCTCACCTAAAAATGGCATTAATACCAGCCTTGCCAACTTCAAAGGCAGGCTACAAGTAAAGCATTTGACACACTTTGAAGTGCCATAAAAATATCAATTATTATTTTTAGTTAATGGAGGAATAAGGGCAACTCGAGAGATTAGGCGCTTAAATCAATTTCTGATATTTCAGCACATCTAGTACCCCATATAACAAAAACAGGTTGAAAGAGGACCCAAGGGACGGGAAAACACTGAAATATCACTAAAAGAATTATATTCAGTTATACCAATCTATCTATCTATACCTATATTTATATCAGGAAAGTTAGATAAAATTTTGACACTTTTCCATGTCAATTTAAAAATATAAATATATTTTAAATAATATAATTTTAAAAATATAAATACATTTTCACATGTAAAACTTTTTGGCTAATCTGAAAATCCAATTCATCAATCATCAGAACACCATGTTCCCAGTTAATCAGGTTTTTGCTATACCCTTAAACAAGACTTTTACTTAATTACTAAAGTAGCTAGTCCACTTACTTGGGAATGAGAGAAAGTTGTCCAATGCTAGAATGATGCCACACGGCATGTGCCAAAGCCAACGTGTAGCTGCAGCTCATCTCAGAATAAGACTGGTGACAAGCAGTAAAGTCAAAAAGTTGAAATGGATATCCAACCCATTCAGTCTCAGAGATGAAGCTTGGGCTGTTAATAACATTCACAATTCGAACATGAAGGACAATCCAATATGGCTCCTTAAAAAGAAATACCATCAGAAAACACAAAAACATTCATGAACAAATAATTTAATATTTCATGCATTTGACACTTTAATCCAAATATCTTAAAAGACATAATCCTTCTAAAATCCCTCTAGCTTTCCAATCAGTATAAATGTCCTTTAAAAAAAATTCATGAGTTGGAATTCCTATGGACACACAAGTCTTAACATGATTTTTGAAGGACTGTCCTAATGGTTGCTGACATAATATCACATCTTTCTATCATCAAAATTCCATTCATGGTATTACATGATGATGAATTATGAAATACCATGATTTCTGAAGAATCAAAATTGTAGGTGACCCAAAAGATAAGAGAGATGCAATGTGGATCTGAATAGCAGATCCCCAACAATGACTTTTGCTGAAAAAGCAGTATGAAAGATAACATACAAGAAATATATAATTGGAAAAGGAGATGGGATAGTCATGTAGTGAGAATAAGAAAAAGGAAGACTAGCCAGAGTGCTATACTGGTTCTGCAAAGACAAAAAGAAGCAGAGAGGCACCCAGCATTTGGTTGGATAGAAGTAATTAGTTGTAAGAGCGTTTTTGTTTTCTGTTTTTAGAGGTAGTAGAGCATAGCAGGAAAAATTCTGCTGTTGGAATTAGGAAAGATTTGTCCCTATTTCTAATCCATGTCTCCTATACTTACTAGTTGTATGACCGTGGGTAGTCATTTACCTCCCTAAGCCTCAATCCTCTCATCTGTAACATGGAAATAATGACAGTACTTTAACTTTTATTGGTTAATTTTAAGCATCAAATGACATAATGTTAAGTGATATATGCATGTATGTCCCTCCCAGGTGAGCTATTTGAGGACAAGGACTATTTCATTTTTCTTTTTCTTTTTTTTTTTAAAGGTTATACATGTGCAATTGAGTAAAGCATTTCCATATTAGTCATTTCATACAAGAAAAACGAAAGAAAGTGAAAAAGAGCACACCAGTCTGTACTCAACCATTATCAGTTCTTTTTCTGGAAAAGGATAGTATGCTTCATATTAGTCCTTTGGGATTGTCTGGAATCATTGTATTGCTGAGAACAGCTAAGTCACAGTTCGTCATCACACTATATTACTATTTGTACAAATAGGTCCTTTTCCCTTTTTTTGGATGTCACAGTTTTACAGCCATTTGGGCATAGTTCCAAATTGCTGTCCAGATCAGTTCACAACTCCACCAACAGTGCATTAGTGTCCCAGTTTTGCCACATCCCCTCTAACATCCAACATTTTCCTTTTTTGTCACTCTGACAGGTGTGATTTTAACTGGCATTTCTCTGATCAATAGTGAGTTAGAGCATTTTTTTTCCATAAAACTATAGCTAGCTTTGATTTCTTTGTCTGAAAACTGTCTGTTCATATCCTCTGACCATTTATCAATTGGGGAATGACTTGCATTTTTATAAATGTCACTCAGTTCTCTATATATTTGACAAATGAGGCCTTTATCAGAATCAAAATTATCTATTTTATATTTTGTAATGCTCTTTGTAGCTTTTTTGGCCCTAAATTCTTCCCTTATCCATAAATCTGACAGATAAACTATCCCATGCTTTATTAATTTGCTAAAGGTTGGATAACCACTTGTCAGGTATTTTGTACAGAGGTTCTTATTCAAGTCCTTTTAACTTTTTGATCCATCTCACTGTTAAGTACAAATTAAAAACGTTAACTCACTGGTAAGGCAGTGATGATCAATCCTATTGCATTCATCCATGCAGTAATGTTCTCTCTTCGTACTAAAGGCTGACTGCAAGCCAAAAAAAAAAAAAAAAGACAAAGGTAAATTTTCACCTATGGAACATTTCAGGATAGGAGAATGGCGTGGTCTAACTATCTATCTAATTATAGCCTGAAAACTAATCTATGTCAATCAAAATGAGATTATTTTATTAGATTAAAAATTCCTATTAAAATGAGAATAAAATTTTATTAGATTAAAATTCTTTGGTAGAATCACCTGCATGGAAAAATGATTGTGACAGTTACTTGAACATTTCCCCCTGCCATTAGCATCCATCTTATGACCATCATTATAAAGGAAGACTACAGAAATACTGACTTTGGTAAACAGTACTGGTAAATCGGGCATGCAGACTTAACACAAACATTTTATTTAGAAACACCTTGCGCTTATTGAACTATACGACAATTTACTTACCTCTTCAGGACAACATTTAGAAGGGCGTTTCCAACATCCTCTCCAGGAACAGCCAAAGCCATTAGCTCCACACAGGTAACATGAAGAGCATGGGCAGCTGGATTGGGAAACTCATTGAATCTCCAATCACAGTTTGGAAATGGACCAGGAGATTTGCCAGCCATAGGTGTGATCAATCAAGGAAATAATATTGGAACTCAGTTTAGTAAGACTCAGAAAATGTATTTAATACATATAGACAATATACAACCAAGTCGTTTCAAAAAATAAGTCTGTTCAGCAGTGTGGCACAAGGCTAAGAGAACTGCATTTGGACCTACGGTACATAGGTGTGAATCCTGCCTCTGTCACTTACAACATATGATTTTACATAAGTCACTTAACCTCTCTGGGTCTATAATTAAATTAGATGTGGATGGAAAAAAATACAAAACAAAACCACATGTTAACTTCTCCAAATCAACTTTAAGGAGTTCTGTCACAATACTAGAGTCTTACTATAATGGGAGAGGTATTAATTCCTTACAAAGAAGTCTTAGATCAATGAGACCCATACACATACACACATGAGGCTCCCAAACAGTGGGAGATTAATCTAAGCACAGAATTTTTTCTTACCTATTTATCGACTACACTTTTCCTAATGCTGCCAGATGAAAACTCAAAAATCTATATAACACAATAGCTTATTTATTCTATTCCCTGGTACTAAAGAATAAAACAAATACAATATAGAATGAGCTTATTTGGAAATAAAAATAGATGCTTGACAGAAACCTAAAAATTTCTATAAAACTACTTTCAAATGCATAGTTTTCTGGCATGAATTTAATGTTATTTTTCAGAGGATATTACCATATCAGGTTTTCAAAAGGAATTCAAAACCTGAAAAATAGGCAGATCACTCCAGAAATCCATGCCTTGAAAGTTAAGTAAAAATATCTCCTTGAAAAAGGGGGAAAGGCTTTTTTACAACTGAAAACACTACTACTCCTATTGAAAAATACACACAGACATACACATACACACACACACTATGAAAAAGGATATTATCTACTAGTCTGCCAATAAGCCTGCAATAATAAGAGTCATCTGGGATCCAAGGGTTTTCTTCTCGTGTATTCATGGCAAATTTGAGATATGTATCACTTAGACACCAGCCCTGTGGCCGATTATCTTTTAGTGAGCCAATGATAGCATGGACAAGCTTCCGTTTGAGGGGTGTGCGGTCTCTCAGGTGCCTCTCATAGTAATGCAGAGTGTTATACAAGTAAGTTACTGGACGGTCTGCCAAGAAAGAAAAATGTAATCACAGCAGCACTTCCATTTAATGATTAATGACTGAGAAAAAGCTAATTGTTCTGCTTAAGGCAGCTCTTTGAAAGAAGAGCTCAGAAGTAGATGAAGCAATTTCCAGAAAAAAAAAAAAGAAGCACAGCAATGGATGGTTTCTAATCATAAGGCAAAGCAATTATGTCCCAATGAAGAAGTGGGGAACAAGAGTGTGATATCTATTCCATAAGGATGCTAACATCCATTATCTTTTCAAATAATTTGTTTCACTTCTCATTAGAACTGGAAACCAACTCCTCTTCTAAAACTGTGGTATATGAAATATCTGCCCATCACCATGACAAGAAACCATTTTGCTAAATTAAAGTTACTCTTTCTATTTGGCTATGCCCGGCCTACAGTGTTTATGGACGCAGAAAGGGAGAAAGACTGGACTTGTGATTCCACTGATAGAGAAAGCTTCCAGATAAGGAAACTCCCTCTACTTATGCAAGTTGGCATCTTCGCTGCAGCTTGCTCTGAGAGGTTAAGAGATTTGCCCAGAGTAACACAATCAGTCTGTGTCAGAAGTGAGACTTGAACCCAAATGTTCCTGGCTCCAACCATCTCTTTATCAACTATAAAACACTTTCTCTTGCTATGGAACTAATAAAATATATTTACAAATAAAAAGAGCTCACCATGAAACTTGTATAAGCCTCCCAAGTGATCCAGAAGAGTCTCCAGTGATTTGGATACCGGCAGCAATTCCAAAAATCTGTGGATAACTATATCAAATACTGGCAGGAATCGGAGGCACACATTTCCAAAGTAGATTGGAAGATAGGGGAGTTGTATCTGCACAGGAGGATTGACCTGTTCTGCTAGGCCCTCAAAATATAGCTTCTCTGGATATTTCTGTGGGAGTTGAATAAATGCTGAGGTTTTCTCTTTTAAGAAAGGACTGAATAAACTCAAAATATATTACAGTATTTAGGAATCTAATTTGCGTAAGAAAACATTTTTAGTTTTATTCAAGGGTACCCAATTACTTTTAGTTTAGTTTTAAAGAGTTCTGTAATCTTATTTCTAAAATATATATGTATGTATATGTATATATGTATATATTTATTATATACATATATACATATATGTATGTATATGTATATATGTATATAATAAATATATTTGAAATGCTAGCTCAATTTCTTAAAAGTCTATAAAACAGATTAACTCTCAAAAATTCTTCAAGGTATCATAAACTATTACATGGAGGGAAATGATCAGACCATACAGCAAAGAACTCCATTACTGTTTACAAAATGATGAATTTGAGGCTTTCATTTAAAATGAATAACACTGATTAAAATGTACCTTGTGATAATTCATATGCTTGGTATGCCAGTCATTCTGCAGCCAGTGCTCTGGAGAGTTCTCTTTCACAAAATCATTTACTCGATTTCTAAAATCATTTGGCTTCAGCAACAGCAATTGAATTATGAAATAACAGACCTGAGCTTCATTTCCTTCATGACTACGCATGGCCTTTGGTGAATCAAAGACAGAAAAAACACTAATAAAAGGAAGATCTCCAAATATCATGGTTCATGAAAGTCATTTTAAAACTCAAATTATAGAGAAAGACATTTTAAATACGCAGGCTAATGGTGGGAGAAAACTTTCCTAGAATATTCAATTACTTAAAGTGAAGCTGTACAATAAAAAACCCCTCACTTTATTTTTTATTACTTTCAAATATTTACATACAAAAGGATATAGTATATGTGTATATATCTATACCTTTCTATAGGTATATAGTAACTAGAACTATTCCCAAATATAAGTTGGAGTACTAGGCTGCTACCTCGATGAATATGACCCATCAAAATCAGTAGAATTCATTTTCACGCAATGTACTAACAGGCATTCAGTTTCTTTTAAATTCAACTCTGTTGATCTTATTTGCAACACTAATTGTAGCAAACTCTTTCTATTTAAATAATGCTAAAGCAAAAAGTCAAAAGATCACAAAGTCTTAGTTAAACAAACAGTTGCACTTTCTAATCTTTCTAACTCCCACCTTCAGGTGAACTAAATGTCTACTTCCTGAGACTAAATTCACCTCACACTGGTTCAACCTGCATAGCACTAAAAAAGACTGGTGTTCTTAAGTTATGAATTTGATTATGTCACTGTTATGCAAGAAAGCTTTCAAAGGCTTCCTATTACCTTTCAAATACAGCCTGAAATTCAAGGATCCCCAAACTGGTAGTACCAAGGTACATGTGCCCCCCCATCCCTTATGTAAACCATAAGCTCTCAGTCAAACAAGAAGACTCAATTCCCTGAACAGTCTATGCTTTCCCACCTCTGTGCCTTTTCTCATGATGTTCCTTGACTGGAATGAATCTCACTTCCTTTTATATTTGTTAAGAGCTAGCTTAGATATCATTTCCTTCATGAAAATGTCTCTGATCACACCTGTATGAAGTACTCTTTCCCAATGCATTCTTGTAATAATTTGTGCCCTTTTCATAATATTGTTTAGATACTGATTATATAACATCACATCACATCTCATCTCATCTTCCCTACTAAGATGGTAAATTACCTGAGGGTAGGGACTTTTTCACTTTGTATCCTGCCTAGTGCTTACCACAGTTCCTTATTGTAGGTGGTCAATAAATGTTTGTTGAATGAATGTATGAAAGAATACTGCCAAATCTCTCTATTTCTTTTTAAAATCAACCAAGATGTATGAAGCAGCTACCACATGTGAGGAAGGATGCTAGAGAGGCTCCCGTGAAACAAATGCAAAAAGGGAATACAGTCCCTACAACAAGGCAACATCCAGCAGGCAGGAAGTAAACTCAGGCTCTACCACCCTAGCCAAATACTGCTTCTCTGCCTTTCAGGGAATTATGAGAGGTGGGGTAATTTGACTGAGGTTAATTCTGAGATGTGAGTGACTAGAAACCACAGCAAAAGTGGATACAATAGTAATAAGTAGTAATTCCTTACTACTACTACTACTACTACTACTACTATTACTACTACTACTACTACTACTACTACTACTACTACTACTACTACTACTACTACTATTACTACTACTACTACTACTACTACTACTACTACTACTACTACTACTACTACTACTACTACTACTACCACCACCACAACCACCACCACCACCACTTCTTGTCCCACCAGCAGCAACCCATAAAGAGTGGTAAGAAAATAAAATTACCATTGTTTAAGTTAATTAATTAATGTGAAATTTCTAATTATTTAGAGTAGTAAAGCTAAAGAGTTGTCATCTGGATGCAAACAAGTACTTAATTACGGGATATATAATAATAGCTAGCATGTATATAGAACTTTCTAATCTATTTGACATTATCTCACTTGATCCTCATAACAACTCTGTGAGAAAGATGCTATTGTCTTATGAATGAAGAAACTGAAGATCAGAAAAGTAAATTGCCTGGGCTCACACAGTTAGATTTGGAGGCAGGACTTGAAGTCTGAGCTTTCTGAATTCTAAGACCAGTGCTCAAACTATCAGAATCTATACTAATTAAGGGTGTAATCCCGGGCAACAAGAGATCTTAGAAATTTATACTTACAAGACAAAGAATCAATCGGTCCAGTGTAACAATGTTGTATTTCCATACCATATCATTGAGGATCTCAATGCATTTGTTGAGTTGCTGACCTCCAGCTGATGTGGAGAACTCATATACCAGGAAGTCTGCAAATGTTCTAACATGAGCTACCAAGGCTCTGGCCCCAATTCTCTCCAGTACTCTACAAAGCAGAGAGAAACAAATAATTTTATTACTACCCAACTGTGCATGAAATGGAATACAGTTATTATAGTAGATATTCCTACTGGTTCACCTATAGCCAATTTGATTAATGTGATCTGTTTCCAAGAGCATCTTCCAAAGGAGGCAAAGGAAAAGGGGAGGAGAGCCTTGAATAGAGAAATGAGTAATGATATCATTTTCATTGCTCATAGATTTCCACTTTCTATATTCCTCCTCCACATTCTTTTTCAGGTTAAAACGACTTTCTTGAGGTACATTATTTTGCTTGAAGAATGCCTGAAGAAAGAGACAATATATAATATTGTTTCATGTAGTAGAAAAAGCAATGGCTCACTAGATCAAGGATTATTGTGAGAGCTGTGAAGTTTTAAAAAAAATATTTTGATAACTGCATTTCAACATCATTGGTTTCTTGGGTAATCTTTTGCATTTAATTTATACATTTAAAAATAATATTCTGAGAAGGGATCCATAGGCTTCACCAGTACATAGCACAAAAAATGTTAAGAACCCCTGATCTACATGAAGATCATTTCTAACTCACTGGTCTTCTCTCAGTCATGTGACTGAGAAGTTGTTTAACCCTAGCATCTTTAAGATGACCTCTATAAAGTCTCTTCCATTTCTAAAAAAATAAAAAATAAAAAATGTAATGCTCCTATAATGAAATGAGGGAAAAATTCTTTTTTCTCTAAAAGTCAGTTTCTTCTGTTTTAAACTGACCTCTATTTTCCCCGTGATTTTATACATACATACACACACACACGTGTATACACATATACACACACACACATATAAAAACATATACATATATATGGCTGAAAAGGCATTTAAAAGATTAATTCTCCCATTCTAGAGTCTAGGTTTACTTAAATTTTAAGGCTTTTTAAATGATACCTTCTGTCTCTTCTTTCCCAACAACACTATATATATTCTTTGATATAAACAATAATTCTTTGAGAATATTCTCTGAAATCTGAACACACTGTCTCTAGCCTTATTCCAGAGGAACATCAAAAGGAGCCGCTTACAGTGGCTCTTACAATACCTCTTTATGAACCAGATAGTTAATTAAGCTTTCCTTAAGCTTTCTTTCCCTAGCAATGGGTATGAACACTCTAATTCGAATTATTTAAGTCAAAGTTCTGGACCTGTTCAACTACCATTTCTCATTTGGTTCCTTAAGTCTTTCCTCACAGAGTCCATTTTTGTTTTTCTTATTTGAACATCTTAATCTGTTGATCATGATTTAAGAAGTTGAACAAGACCAAATTTCTCTCTATTTCAGTGAAAATCACACAGGGCTTATTTGACAAATAGTATGTTAATGTTTACAAAATGACCTACAGAATTCTATAACTACTTATTAGCTATTATTTCAGAAACATATACAGTTATGGATAGTGGAGAAATGCTGGTCTTGATATCAAGAAGACCAAGATTCAAATACAGCTTTCTACATATACTGGTTATGTGACTCTGGCTGGGCATGTCATAACCTCTTAGGCCCCAGCAATACTCAGAAGGTGCCACTCTGCACTGGTAGAGAGAGTTTCCTCATCTGGAGTTCCCAATATGAAAAAAAGCACATGTCTAGGCCAAAAAAAAAAAAATCAAGCCACCTAACAATATGACTTAGTTATCTTTAACAAGTCTTTGGAGCAAAAAACTGGATTTAAAAATTCAATTTAAGCATTTACTAAGCACCTATTGTACGTAAGACACAATGCTAAAGACAAAAATGATAAAATAGTCTCTGCCCTCAAGGAGCCTGCAAATTGAGCTACTTTCTTGTTCGACAATAACAAAAAAATTCTCCATATAAGGCATTACAAAATGGCAAAATAACATCTTTTTCGTACAGTGGTGCTTCATTACAGAATTACCTGCAGAGGAGCTGGAAAGCAGCTAAGAGTATGAGAAGCCCAATTGTGAGGTGTAAAGCTCATGATAGTCTGAAGTATATCCTTGCACCAAGTTCCCTGAATTGAATCAGAGCCTGTAAAAAAATCTAAACAAGCAGATAGCTATAAAATACGATTCAACTAAAATTTGAGAAAAGTTTATTAAGTACTTCAGAACTACGCAAGATGCTAGGAGTAAAAAGATAAAATAGTCCTTCCCTGCCCATCAATGAGCTTATAGTCTACTGATGGGAGTAAGGGATAGAAAAGGGGAGGCCTAGAATAATAAGGATATAGATATATAGCTATAAGAAAAGGAGTATTCAACCCCCCAAGGATCAGGAAAGGTTTTGCATAAGAAGCAGCACCCTACTTGAATCTCAGAAGAAGCTAAGGATTTTAAGAGGCAGGGGTGAGAGTATATTTCAGACACAAGGAACAGTCTTTGAACAAAAAATACGCTGAATTCGAGAAATTACTAATTTTGCTGAAATGAAGAGGACATGAAGGAGACATAAAATAAGTTTGGAAAGGCAAGTGGCAGCCACATTATGAAGGGTTTTAAATGGTGAGCTGAGAGTTAGTATGTTATTCTAGAATTTATAGTCTACTGTTTACAGTTTATAGGTATTCAGCAGAAGAGAGACATGTTCAAATCCATGCCTTAGGAAGACAGTTTTAGTAGCTTTATAGGATAAAGAGGCAATCTTTCAGGTAACCAAAGGCAAAAAATTTAGGAGTAAGATAGAATGATTTTGTTCTTATATACTAATTTGATTTCTACAGCTACTCAGAGAAAATATTAATTCAAGTCTTAAATCAGGAGTGCCAATTTCAGCTACAAGTGATTCTTTCAAAAGTCTCACAAAGGTGTTTAAATTTTGGTTCATCTTAATTTCCCTTTTAATTGATAGCAAGTGATTTGATAACTGGTAGGTATGCCAGTGGACTGCAAACCATGTTTGTTCATTCCAAGTTCCTAATGGTCAAGGGCAAAAGCTCTGTCTCTATAGGATAAGGCATAAAAGTTTGTTAGCTAAAGCACATTTAGTGGGGCTGCTAGGTGGCGCAATGGATAGAGCAACAGCCCTGGAGTCAGGAGGATCTGAGCCTCAGACACATAAGACTCACTAGCTGTATGACTCTAGGCAAGTCACTTAGTCCCAAATGCCTCACCAAATAAAATAAAATAAAGTACATGAGCACAATTTTCAAATGAGAATAATTTAATCTGAACAAAATTCTTTAGACTACTATGTTCAATTTTCATGCATTATTTCTCTAAAACTTATTAACCAGTCTGAAAACTAAAAAGTAAATTGGTCAAAATTAGAATACCCTGCGAAAGTAACAGGTTAGTAGTTAAGATTTTCAAGCATTAATGATGATAATTTTTCAGAAGGTAAGCTTCAGTGATGTAGTATAATCAAAATAATCTTTAATATACTTTCTTTTTTTTTTGAAAAATTCATTGTTACCTGTCACATGAGTTGCTCTGGCTAAGGTCAAAATTAAGGCCCGGTTCAGTTCTTCAGACTCTGCTGAAAGCACAGTTTTGGGGTCACTAAGGAAACGAGTAAACTGTGGTTGTACTTCAGAGCTGCCAAGTGCTGTTATGAGTCTTAGAGCAGTGCTCTCAGCACTGAAAAGGTGAAAAGAAGAGTTATCCAGGTTATGACATTACAGAAAAAATCTACAATTCTACAGTTTTATAAGGTAGACAAAAAAAATTAAACTTGAATGTCCTTTAAAATTTTTCTTTGGAAGTACTGAACAAAAGGATAGTATCCTACAGTCAGCTTTTCTATCATTTCCCAAATGAAGAAGCTTATACCATGTTTCCTGACATTGCTGACTTTAGTCAAAGCTACTAAGTCTGCAGAACATGGAAGTATAAAGTTCTTTTCATTTGTATACATTGTTTCAAAAACTGCATACAGTTTTCTACATGTTTTTACTAAGGGTACAATAAAAACCACATTTGGCAACTTACCTGAAACAAAAAATATTTTTGTTTTTTCAGCCCTAAATGGTGGAGGTGGAAGACAAGGATTGTAAAGCTTTTCAGAGACAAAATATTTAACTGAAAGAAAAGCAACTTCTCTAGTACATTTTTGCCCCATTTGCTACTTTTTAATCAAAAGGCAAATACTCAAAGAGTAGAGAAGAAATTTATGCGAATGTGAAGAAACAGGGAAAGAAATTATATATATGCATGCAGTGATGCAGGCTAAGGACTTTACAAGAGCGCTAATGAACCATCTAGCACACTAGAATAAAGGACAATGGCATCTTCAAAGGCTCACCAGAGATGGAGCTGGTTTTGATTGGTTTGGGGTACAGCAGCAAGAGAGTGAAGATGGCTCAGCAGTTGAACTCGGTAATGAGGCTGGATGTGGTGCATACGGTAGCTGAACATCTCCAGGAGTGTATGTAAAATTCCCCAAGCATGAGACTTGAAAACAGTAGGCAAGAGTTGACCTTGTGAAAGGAGATAATAAAGATAAATAAAGGAAAGTAAGATTATACAAATATCCCCCAAAAGAAGTTTTATTTGTGACTTTACTTTCCCACATTACTATATAACTTTTTTGGTTATAATTTATTTGGTTATCAGCAAACCTTGCTAATCTCAGTTAGGAGAAAGATTAGTCTGAATTACAGAATGTTTTAAAAATAAAGCTACAGAATTTTCAGGTATATACAGTAACCTAAATTAGGTTATAAAACCATTGAGATTAGTAGACGTAAGTAAGAGAGGATTAATATTTCACATAGGTGGCACAGGTGATGTATATAGTTGGACTTAAGAGTCAAGACTTTCTACGTTTAAATCCTAACTCAGATACTCACTAGCTGCATGATTCTGGGCAAGTCAATTAACTGCTCTCAGCCTCAGTTTCCTCATTTGTAAAATGAAGACAAGACCATCTACCTTACAGGCTTATTGTAAGGATCAAATGAAACATTTAAAAATAAGGAATATGTAAAGTACTTTTGCAAACATTAAAACATATATAAATGATAGCTTTTATTACAGCAATTCAACTAAGGCAATGTGTCTTAGGATATAAAGATAAAAAAACAACAAAGCTGCTGCCTCATAGGAGCTTTGAAAAAATACATAGTAGCAAGTGATAGGGTCAAAGGAGGGATCAAGAGATCCAGGCAGAGGGGCAGCTAGGTGACACAGTGGACAGACACCAGCCCTGGAGTCAGGAGGACCTGAGTCCAAATGCCACCTCACACACGATACTTACTAGGTGTGTGACCCTAGGCAAGTTAAAAAAAAAGAGAGAGAGAAGGTGGGGGGGGGGAGAAGATCCAGGCAAAGTGCCCCAGGAAAATTTGAGGAGATAATAGTTACTTTGAGTTAGGACGATGAATAGGGAAGGCTTCATGGAGGAGGTGGCACCTAAAATGGACTGTGGAGGAAGAGAAGTATTGCTTCAATTATCACTAGCTAAAACAGAAAACTTCTTGATATTTGATTTATATTCTGAAAGGGATGAGCTGGAAAATTTTGTTTAGTAGGGGAAATAATCTTCCTTTAAACTCATATTTACACTCTTGTTTGGTGAGCTCTCTTCACATATTTTACAAAGATATATTTCAGCTTTGAGACCTCAAATCTAGTTTAATGAATCAATTTTGAATCTATTAGGTTTTGTTATATAAAAATCATTCACATTTTCATTGAGGTTTAAAGTTTATAGAACTTTTTTTTAACAACATTTAAGAAATCAAGAATCAATAAAACAAAACCAAAAGAATGAAAAAATAGAATTCAATGTGAACTATCTTACTGGAAAAAACTGACCTGGAAAATAGATCTAGGAGAGATAATTTTTAAAAAACTGGACTACCTGAAAGCTATGATCAAAAAAAAAGAGCTTAGATATCATCTTTCAAGAAATTATCAAGGAAAACTGCCCTGATATTCTAGAACCAGAGGGTAAAAGAGAAATTGAAAGAATCCACCAATCACCTCCCGAATGAGGTCCCAAAATAAAAATTCCCAGGAATATTATAACCAAATTCCAGAGATCCCAGGTCAAGGAGAAAATATTGCAAGCAGCCAGAAAGAAACAATTCAGATATTGTGGAAACACAATCAGGGCAACACAAGATTTAGCAGCTTCTACATTAAAGGACTGGAGGCCTTGGATTATGATATTCTGGAGGGCAAAGGAGCTAGGGTTACAACCGAGAATCACCTACCCAGCAAAACTGAGCATAATCCTTCAGGGGAAAAAATGGATCTTCAATGAGATAAAGGACTTTTAAGCATTCTTCATAAAAAGATTAGAGCTGAATATAGAAAATTTGACTTTCAAATATGAGGCTCAAGAGTAACATAAAAAGGTTAAATAGGAAAAGGTAATCATAAGGGACTTAATCAAGTTAAACTATTCCTACATGGGAGGATGATATTTGTAACTCATAAGACCTTTTTCTTTATTAGGGCAGTTAGGAGTGTGTGTGTGTGTGTGTGTGTGTGTGTGTGTGTGTGTGTGTGTGTGTACACGCGCGCGCGTGTATATGTATAGGTACAGGTATGAGTTGAATATGAAAGTATGATATCTAAAATTACAATTTAGGGGTAAGAAAAGAATGTACTGGGAAAAAGAGAAAGGGAGAAGTGGAATGGGGCAAATTATCTCACATAAAAAAGGCAAGAAAAAGTTTTTACAGTGGAGGTGAAGAAGGAGGAGGTGAAGGGGAGTGAGTGAACTTTCCTCTCAGAATTGGCTCAAAGAGGGAATAACATACACATTCAATTGGGTGTGGAAATCTATCTTACCCTAAAGGAAAGCAGGGGTGGAAGGGGACAAAAGGGGGGGGGTGGTGATAGAAGTAAGAGCAGATTGGGGGAGGGGACAGTCAGAAGCAAAACACTTTTGAAGAGGGACAGGATGAGAGCGAGAATAGAATAAACTGGAGTGGGGGAGGGGGAAGGGGAAGGGAAGGGCTATAAATAGGATGGAGGGAGAAATACTGTTAGCAATAGTAATAGCAAAATAGTAATAACAAAAAAACCAAAAAATTTTGAAGCAAGTTTCTCTGATAAAGGCCTCATTTCTCAAACACAGAGAGCCTGATTCAGATTTATAAAATTAAGAGCTATTCCCTAATAAATGAGTGATCAAAAGATATGACCAGTTTTCAGATGAAGTAATCAAAGCTATCTAAAGCTATATGAAGAGGTGCTTTAAATCACTATTGATTGGAGGAATGCAAATTGAAACAATTCTGAGGTACTACCTCATACTATTAGATTGGCTAATAGAACAGAAAAGGAAAATTACAAATGTTGGAGGGGATGTGGGAAAAATGAGACATTAATGCACTGTTGGTGGAGTTGTACACTGATTTAACCATTCTGTAGAGCAGTATGGAACTATGCCCAAAGGGCTATAAAACCATGTATATACCCTTTAACCTAGCAAAACCACTACTTGGTCTATATCCCAAAAGAGATAAAAAACAAAAAGGAAAAGGACCTATACATATACAAAAATATTTATAGCAGCTCTTTTCTGGGGGCAAAGAATTAGAAATTGAGGGAATGTCTATCAAGTGAGGAATGGTGGAACAAGTTGTGGTATGTGATTACGATGGAATACTATTGTACTATTAAGAAATGATGAGCAGGATGCTCTCAGAAAAACCTGGAAAGGCTTGCATGGGCTATGCAAAGTGAAATGTACTGCGTACAAAGTAACAGCAATATTCTAAGATGGTCAGCTGTGAATGACCTATCTATTCTCAGCAATACAATGATCCAAGACAATTCTGAATGACTTATGATGAAAAACGCTATCCATCTCCAGACAAAGAAGTGATAGTGTCTGAATACAGACTGAAACATACTTTTTTTTTTAAACTTTATTTTTCTTGAGTTTTTTTTTAATATGTTTTCTTTCACAACCTGACTACTATGGATGTTTTACATGACTACACACGTATAACCTATATCAAATTCCTTCCCTTCTCAATAAGGGAGGAAGAGGGAAAGGAGAAAATTTGGAACTCAAAGTTTTAAAAATGAATGTCAAAATTTGTTTTTACATGTAACTAGGGAAATAAAAATATAAAAATATAAATATAAAGATATAAAAATAAAATAAAAACAAAGTAACTGCAGACAACATAAAACACTTGAGAGTCTACCCGCAAATACAAACCCAGATGAAGACAATTACAAAATACTTTTCACACATATAAAAACAGAACTAGACAACTGGAGAAATATTAACTGCTCATGGGTGGGCCAAGCGAATATAATAAAAATGACAATTCTACTTGAATTTACTTATTCAGTGACAAACCAATAAAACTGCCAAAATTACTTTATAGAGCTAGAAAAAAATCAAAACAAAATTGACCTGGAAGAACAAGCAGTCAGGAATATTAAGGGAATTAATGAAAACAAATGTAAAGGAAGGTGGCCTAGCCATACCAGATCTTAAAACTGTATTATAAGTAGTAATCATCAAAACAATCTGGTACTGGCTAAGAAATAGATGGATCAGTAGAATAGGTACATAATACACAGTAGTAAATGATTTTAGTAATCTAGCGTTTGATAAACCCAAAGACCCAAGCTTTCGGGACAAGAACTCACTATTTGTCAAAAACTGCTGGGAAAAATGTAAAGCAGTTTGGCAAAAACCAGGTATAGATCAATATCTTATACCACATAGCAAGATAAGGTCAAAATGAGAACATGATGTAGACATAAAGGGTTATACTATAAGCAAATTAGAGGAGTATGGAATAGTTTACCCATCAGATCTAAGGATAAGGGAAGCAAAATAGGACCAAACAAGAGACAGAGAGCATTACAAGATATAAAATGGATAATTTTCATTATATTAAATTTAAAAAGTTTTGCACAAACAAAACTAATGCAACCAAGATGAAAATCAGAAAGCTGGGAAACAATTTTTATAGTAAATGTCCCTGATACCAGCCTGATTTCTTAAATACACAGAAAACTGAGTCAAATTTAAAAGAATACAAGTCATTCTCCATTTGATAAATGGTCAAAGGAGATGAACTAGCAGTTTTCAGACGACGAAACCAAAGCTATCTAAAATCACTGAAAAAATGCTCTAAATTGCTACTGACTAGAGAAATGAAAATTAAAAATAATTCCGAGGCATTACCTTACACCTATGAGATTGGCTAATATGACAGAAAAGGGAAAAGAAAGTGATAAATGTTGGAGGGGATATGAGATAATTGTGACATTAATACCTCTTGGTGGAATTGTGAACTGATCCAACCATTCTAGAGGGCAAATTGAAACTATGCCCAAAGGCCTATAAAACTGTGCACACTCTTTGATCCAGCAAAACCACTACTACGTCTGCATCCCATTGAGATAAAAAAAAAAAGGGAAAAGGACCTATTTGTACAAAAATATTTATACTAGCTCTTTTCTGTGGCAGCAAAGAAATTGAGGGGATGTCATAAATTGGAGAATAGCTGAACAAGTTGTGGTATATGATTGTAATGGAATACTACTGTGCTATAAGAAAAGATGAGAAGGATGATTTCTGAAAAGCCTGGAAAGAACTGATGCAAAGTGAAGTGAGCAGAACCAAGAGAACATTGTACACGCTAACAGCAATGATGTGTGATGATCAACTCTGAATGATTTAAGCTATTCTCAGCAATACAATCATCCAAGACAATTCTAAAGAATTCATAATGAAAAATGGTATCCATCTCTAGAGAAAGAACTGATCGATGTCTGAATGCAGATTTGAAGCAAAGTATGTTTCCACTTTCTTCTTTTTTTTTTTTTGGGTGGTGGTGGTCTGTGTTTTCTTTTACAACATGACATACGTGTATGTATAACACATATATATGTATATGTGTGTATGTGTATACATATATACATTTATGAAAAAATATTTTGCATGATTCTATATATATCACCCATATCAAATTGCTTATCACCTTAAGGAGCAGTTAGGGGAGGGAGAGAATTTGGAACCCAAAATTTAAAAAAAATTAATGTTAAAAATTGTTTTTACATGTAATTGGGAAAATAATAAAATATTTTTAAAAGGAAAGAAAATTTGCTCTTACTAATAAATCCTTTAATGCCCAAGGATTCTATTTCCATATAAACCAGTAAACGACTGTAGGTTTCCACTAGGGCTGGGGCCAATGCCACACTGGATTTTGCATGTGCCAGTTTTATCACCCTGGTAGCAATACTGTGAATTAAGCTGTGGTAAAGGGAAGAGAGGGAAAAATAAAGTTAAATTTTAGGTATGACTGACAATAATATCTCAATTTATAAATAAAAAATTTAAATAAAGTTTATAAAGCACTTTCTTCACAATAAATCTATGTTATTATCCCCATTTTACAGATGAAAAAAACTGAGGTCCAGAGAAGTTAAACAATTTGTACATAATCATTCAACTAATAAGTTGCAGAGGTAGGATTGAAACCACGTCTTTGCTTCCAACTCTGGCGCTCTTTCCACTGTTAGACCACTGTTATCCCACTGTCAAAAAAAAATCTGAATCAATTCCTTAAGCTATTATTTAGCAGCATTTGAGTGAACTAAATTGCTCATATCTGCAACCATGTAAGTATACTCTTGATACTAAATAGTTTTCAATCTAATAACAATTAACCCTTTATTAAGTGCTTACCACATGTCAAGAATTGTGCTTCAACAAACTCATGGAAACACTATATTTGGCTATTTTCTATTGTTAATCTCATGAAGACACTGCTTGTATACTCTGAGAATCCAATTCTATAACATTCATTAAATGCCTGCTCTAACTAAAGTATTATGCTGATTACTGATACAAAGAAGGAATGAAGTTCCTGTCTTTAAAGGGATTACAAATAAGAGGCAGAATAAAGGATTCAAGACATGTACACAAATAAATATAAGTTAGACTATAATAAATACTTAAGGGAGGTTAATGAGAGACGCATAAGGTAGGCTTGCTTTGTGTGTGCTGAAAGAATCAAGACAAGCAACATGAAGAAGTTGGTATCTTAGCTGAGATTTGAAGAAAGGGAAGAATTTCAACAGGTAAAGGTGTGGAAAGAGTCTATTCCAGGCACAGAAGATAAGTGTATGTAAATGCATGTGGGGACCAGTGGAGAGTAGGATGAGATTGGGTATGGCTTGTAGCAGTTTGGAATGCAGGGTAGTGTGAAAAAAAGCTAAAAATAAAATGAAGACAGGTGAATGCTTATACACGTGAATGTGCATGTGTGCACTCGAGAGCGCGAGCAAGTGCCAGCACACACGTATTCAAAGCACCAAGACAAAAACTTAACCTACTGATATCAACTGAAAACAACACTGGACCCAAAAGAAATGAAAGAACATACCTCATTTTGGCATGCACTGTAAGGGAATCCAATAGGTTCATTGGTAAAGGGGTAATAGATCCTGATGCCATGCAATTAATTCCAGGGAGAGAGATTCTCATGTTTCCATTGCCATAAATAGTCTCTACCAGAACTCCCATAGGCAATGTGAAACATTCTGAATTTGTAGAATATGCGTTACACAGCAAGGCAATCTTATAGTCATTCATCTGCAAATTTTTATTTCGAAGACTTTGTTGCAAGAACCTATGAATATTAAGTTAAATTTAATATGAAAATAGATATAATATACCACAAAATACAGCTGCAAATACAATTTAATTTTTTTCATTTTTTAATCTTTCGATTTTAATCTTTGAACAAAGAGATAAAACCTTAGGTCCTGAAGGTGCTATGTTTGCCTGTCCCAAAATACACAATGGCAACACACATATCCAGGATTCTAGGTAGATTCTAACCAGAATCTTTGTATATTATTACACAATTCTTAAGAATCTCAAAAAATAGGGACAATGGGAATTCAATCTTGAAACAATACAGAATATAATGCTATTTCTGAACACATAAAGAATACATTCCATATATACATAATGTTTTAAAGATGTTATCAGTAATAGCAGCATATTGGCTAAATGAATCAATCAGGGTATATATGCCTAGTATGTTAAGACTAGTATCAGAAAGGAATAATTTACAAATTCATGAATTATAAGTCAATTTATTATTTGTAATCTTAAATAACACACTATACTTTAACTATAGATATCATTACAAGAACATGCTACCTAAACCTTGTTATTAAAAAGGTAGTAATGCATGAAATTATGAAGTATCTTCATTATTTATGAATACTAATAACTTTAATGAGGCTATAAATGATTAATTTTGAAGATATAAGCATTATTGTCATTCTAATTAAGATTCTTAGTTCTGTGCTGCAGACATTAGCCAGTCTTTCAACTTCAGCTATAACACATAGTATCACATAAACAGAATCAGTTTCAATAGTTACTCCCAAATTTCATAATTTCTATATTAACTTAAAAATCAACAATGACATGAAGCTATCAACTTACTCATGGTGAAGTTTTAGGGAGTGAGGTATAGGAATCTGTAGTTTGGAATTGTCATTTTGGGCTTTTCTGTTTAGATGTATCCAAATACATGTCATTGCAAAGGCATGGGTTGACTGAGGTTTGTTGATATCTGGCACAGGAATACACTAAGAAAGAACATATTTGTATGGTATTACAAAAATAATGGAGCAATATGTTCTAGGTATCATTACAAATGAGAATCATAGATCTAGGGCTAGGACACAGAAATATTCTAATCTAACTCCCTTGCTTTCCATATAAGGAAACTGAGAGGTCTGGAGAGGTTAAATGACACAGTAAGTCAGAGATGGAACCCATTTTTGAGTTTTCCCTTATAAGACAAAAATCCTAAATTCACTTAACAAAAGAAGGAGCATTTATTAAGCACGTATTTGTGTAGATTATACAATTATATAGAGCATGTACTATATTCTGGGGATATAAAGACAACAAAACAGCTCCTTTCCAGAAGGAATCACCATTCTCTGAAAAGGGAGAAAATATGCACACAAATAACAAACTGTCACTTGAAAAGGGAGAGAATATTAAAAATAACCAAAAATAACACCAAATAAATGTGTGGTTAAAAGATATGAATAATTCTCAAAAGATGAACAACAAACTATTGACAGCTCTATGAAAAAATGCTCCAAATCATTAATAAGAAACATGCAAATCAAAACAACCCTGAAGTTTCACTTCACAACTATAGTCAATGTTGGAGAGGATGTGTGGAGGAGTTATGTGGAGTTCATAAATATACTATTTGTGGAGTTGCAAATTGATTCAAACATTCTATAAAACAATTTGTATAATCATATGAAAAGGTATTGAGCTGTTCATAACCTTTGACCCAGAGTTCGCACTGCTGAGTATATATCTAAAAACAATTTGGAATTATGGGAAAAGTTATTAATTATGGAAAAAGGTATTATATTTCTTAATTTCCTCTGACCTGGAGATTCTATTATCAATCATATTTGCCTCTCTCAGAGGTCAGACAGAAAAAGTCATATATATATATAAAGTCACAGCAGCATTTTTAACAATAGAAAAAACTAGAAACAAAGTGTGAACCCAATCAATTGAAGAACTGCTGAACACAGAATATTCTTAAATAGAATGACAATAGAATATTATCACGTGTTTAGTCATTCTTCAACCAATGGGTATATACTTTGTTTCCAGTGTTTCCTATCATGCCAAAAGAAAAGAACATGAGGAATTCAGAGAAAAATGGGAAGTCTTGCTTGAACTGATGGAAGGTGAAGTGAGCAACATGTTACACTGTAGACTCCCCCCCCCCCCCCCCCCCCCCCCCCCCCCGCACACTCTCTCTTCTCTGGGTTTTCGGGACAGTAACTCCCTTGGTTATACAAGAGTACTCCTGGTTTATTATTTATAATCTGTCCCCCTAACTGTGAGTGTTCTCTGTTCTCTTCTTCTTTACCTATACTCTCTTAGCGACTTCAACTTTTATGGATTATCATTTCTACAAAGGTGACTTTCAAATCTACATATCAATTCTAGCTCTCCTGAGCTCCTCCCACATCACCAGATATCTACTGAACACTTCTAATTGTATGTTCCATAGGTATCTAGACATATCCAAAACAGAATCATCTCCCACCCCACCTAATCCATCCCTTTTCCTAACTTCTCTATCTCACTCTTCCTCATTCCACATATCTGATCAGTTGCCAAATCCTGTTGCTTCTACCTCCATAACATCTCTCATTTAGATCGCCATCACCTCACTTATAAGGTACTACCCTAGTTCGAAGACCTAATTACCTCTGGACTGTACTGCAAATGTCATCTAATTAGTCTCAAATCTCTCTCCATTACACAGCTGCCAAATTGATATTCCTAAATCTTAGAAGTCCTACCATGTCCCTCCCCTATACAATAAACTTCAGTGGTTTCCTATTTCCTCTAGGACAGGGAAGTGCAAGAATGGATGGAATGATGGACTTGAAGACAGTTCAAAGCCTGCCTCAGATACTTAACTACGTGACCTTGGGCAATTCATTTAACCCTTCTCTAGTTAGTATTTAAGACCTTTTACTACCTGGCTCCTAACTACTTTTCCAGGTACATTATACATTATTCCACATTATACATTATTCTCCTTTGTGGATGTTACAGTTCAACAAGCTGCCTCATAAATGATATTCCATCTCCCATCTCTGTGCATTTACAAAGGTTGTCTCCCATGCTTGGAAGGCACTCTTCTCCTCACCTCTGCCTATTTTTCTTTAAGATATCTCAGCTCAGCTTCCTTTAATATATCTCCTTGAGACTTTTCCTAATTCCCCCAGCCATTAGTGCTGGCCCCACCCCATCGAAATTACATTGTATTTACTGATACTTGCATATGATTCCTCACCTCCAAAATGGAGTCTTTGAGAGCAGGATCATTACATTTTTGTCTTTGCATGCCTAGCACCTAAACACAAAGTAAGTACTTAAGTGCTTGATATATATGGAAATGACTTTGATGACTCAAACAACAAAAAAAATCAATAATTTTTTTAAAGGAACTATGAGAATTTGAAGATTAACTGTGTCAAAAGATATAAGTGGCCAAATTTCCTCTGGACTAGGTGTTATTCCAGTATTCGTGTTATTCTAGATTTTAGTATTCCCTCTATCATTAACCAGTTATATAATCTTGGGCAAGTTACAATCACTTCATGTTTTAGTTTTCTTATCTGTAAAGGGGCCTTGAAAATGGAGTAGTCCATCCCTTCATTTTACAGATGAGAAAACTAAAGCCCTGAGTTACACAGCTAGTGATAACTGGAAGTCAAAAGACCTGGGATTCTGACTCTAGTCTGTGTTCTTTCCATTACTGCAATACTATCTCCCTTATACGGTACCTTTCATATAAATTCAATTATTCTGTTTTCCACTGAATAATACTATCTCCCTTATACAGTACCTTTCATATAAATTCAATTATTCTGTTTTCCACTGAATGGTCAAACTTACCTCTTTTTCTGGATAAAGAAGATCAAAGAGCTTCATAACAGGGAGAAAATCAGCTAATGCATTTTTCTGAATACTTCCAGAAATGAACTGTAGCAATACCCACATTAGATGGTCTCTGCCTTTAATGAGACCTCGCCCTGCTAACTGCAAAAGAGTTTGAAAGCAGAGATTATTAGTTCTTGGTTCATCAACATTGATGGGAGCTTCCAGTACAAAACAAAAGAATTTTGATTGCAGAATCTGAGGAATGTAACATCTACCGAGAAAGCTCATGATCTAACTTGAGTATTTACAAAGTATTTCAATTCTTCAAAGGTCCATGATTTCAGTGGTTTGTTGATTCATTCCAATGATACAGATTACCCTTTCTGTGTCTCAGATGCCTGATGACTTCTTCTCAGCCAACTTTCTGGTAATGGAATTTTACAAAAATCTACTCTAACAGTTATTTTTGCTGGAGCAAATGCATTTCACAATAAAAATTATAGGTGTTACAATGATAAAGTTTGCTTTATTATTTATCACCTGAGAGACACAATTTTAACTCACCTCATCGTGTAATGAAAAAAGTTAAACAATCTGCCAGAGATCATGATAGAGCCAAAATTTAGTCTCAAGATTTCTATTTGTCAACACTAAAACTACATCATTGCTCTCTGAAATTACAACAGCCTTTTTTTTTTCAAGAAAACTACGTCCTAAAATCAATAGTCCCTATTGAAAAAGAGGACTAATACATACCTTTTGATGAAGAGATAAGACCATATGAGGAAAACTTGCAAACTGGAAAAGTACAAAAAAAATGAGCTGGCTTGAGAGGTGCTGCCACAGAAGCTGACTGGTTCCCCCATCATCAAATTTCTCCTCAGTCTCTGAACGTTCCATGGCATAAACCACCAGATCCACCAACTGGTCCTCCAGCACTGGACAGCGCTGTTTGTGCTGTAGGACAGAGATTAGATACAGTATTCCAAAAGCCTCTTGGTTAGCTTTAGAAGTAATTAGGTAACAGACAATATTAAACAAGAGGCTGGGAAGCATGAAATGAAGTCTGAACTTAAGAAGTTAGAGTTAGGCTGGTTTATTAAAGCTGCACCATGTTATGCCACAGAAGACAACTTCTACTAAAAAAAAAAAAGCTCTACAACCCTTCCACCAAGCCTCCCATGGCATTTCTGATTTAAACTCAAGCAAAAAACTTATTTTAATTTGATAAATGCTTTTTGTTCAAAATTAGTTGGAAACTCTCGGTCATTCAGAAGAATCAGAATTCATAGAAAAAGGCCCTTCCTTGGATGGTTCACTATAGGTTAGTAAAGCACAATGTGAGTCATTTGCCTTACTCTAAAGTTAAAAGGCCTTTTGTTTTCTATTTAAACCTTTGAATACACTGGTTTACTTAGAAAGAATCTAAGTTTTTTTGTACAAATTACCTAATTTAATTAATTAATTTAATAAAAGGTGTTTTTTACATGTTGAATTAGCCACACCTCTGCTTCCCCCTCAAAAAACTCCTTAGCAAAAATTTGGTCAGAAAATTGCTAAATGTATTGCTTTCTTCTTACAACCCAAACATAATGCAGCTTTAATTGTAAAACAAAGCAAAAAAACTATTTTTAAAGAAAAGAACTGAGCTTAAAAACTAAAAATGAAAATGCAATTTCCCTTTCTAGAGGCAAAAAGATTTGTGCTTTGTTTTTTCAAATTGTTGTTTTGAAAACATTCTTACTTAAAAAAATACACCCACGCATCCACAAAATTTGTTTTAGTTGTTCTTGCATTTTCTTAACAAACAAGTTATGTGTCTTAGTAGCCAGGCAGTTGACATGACAGCCTTGTTTTAGTAAATAAAATTGTTAAAGGAGAGAGGCTTTTTTCCTATATTTTAAAGATGCTATTATTTGCCTTTTGCCATGAAAAAGGGATGATTTCTTTGATTAAGGAGAAAAGTACAAAAATGGGGACAAATTTGAATACTATACAATGAACAGCATATCCTCTTTTGCATGCTTTTTGCCAGCTCAAACTTGTAAAGCTACAAATCTAGCTGCACTTTAAGGCATGCAAAAACAGAACAATTAACCAAAACAGTAAGCATCAACTGCTGTTCAATGTTCTCTCCGAAAACACAATGCCATGATCACAGTTCAACCACGTTACAGGTTTACAAATAGCAATATTAACACCACCAATTGAAAATACAGTACTTTTTCCTCCAAAACTAATTATTATGAAGCAGAGCAAAGTGCAACAGACAACACTACAGACTATTTTGTAATTCAGCATGCAAAACTACTGTGTACAGGGCTTGAAATTCACTAGTTCTGCTAACCACCAACAATCCAAGAAGGGTGTCAAGACAACACAAATTTAGAGTGAAGTCATTCCAAGTATAAAAGAGTCAGAAAATTTTGTGAAAAGAAGTAAAGCCAGAATTTCCAGTAGGAATTTGTCACTAGTAATTATTTTCTTATGGAGCAGAAACTGACCCAATTGGTGATCTATTCCTCCTCCCCAATGATGGTTCACCCCATCAACTTGTTTCAATCAACAAAGAACAAACTAAAGGAAATCTATTTTGAAATCCTGAGTCAAATTTAGAACTCTTTAAGTATCTATGATCTGTTAAAAAAAAATCAGGATAATACTTACCTACCTATTTCTCAGAAGGGTTGTGGTGGTAAAATAGTTAGGGTCAGTAGAATGATTTAAAGAGGAAAGTCAAAAGGTTCATTATTACTGTGAATAATAGGATTCTAAAAGTGAGAAAACTAGGAAATTCAAAGGGAAAGCCAACATGGTTTTCCAACTAGTGAAATCTAGAATAAAACAAGCCAATACCCAAAGACTTTCTGTGATGAGGTCAAAGTGCCTGTGATTTCCTAAGAACTTAATACTTTACAGAAGAATATTCATTAATATTAACTTTAAATTTCCCAGCTATGACTGGTCCAGACTGCAAATGTTTCTAAAAAATTTAAGTACATTGGTTTTGTTATTCTATAAAACTTCACATACAGAGAGCAAACTATATAGTACATGCGTTAAGCAAGAGACCATAAATCAAGAACTGAATTTTGTATGTATTCGTCACTGTATAACTAATACAACACTATTTAGGCATCAAATTTCACTATGAAACAGGAATATTAATATTTATCATCTTGCTACACTGCAGAGAATCTTGAGAAGTACAAGAAATTACCACTTACTTAAGCATTTGGAAATCTCTGAATTAACGTTATTTATCACTAGGCTAAAGACAAGTTCTAGAATATTCACTGAAAAGACATCTTACTTTTTATTTCATTTCTGGAGCTTGTCATTTCTAAATTTCTGAGGAATTAGTAATATTTAAGCTTAAAAATATTTACTTAAGTGAAACATTTAAGTGTCTACTATGTGCAAAGCACTTTGACTTAAACATGGAGATGCCATGCCATCAAGGAACTTAAATCACCTTCATTGAAAGCTAGATTTTAGTAAAGTACATACTTGAATACTTTAACATACTTTACACTGAAGTGGATTTTAACACTAGTATTTCCATTTAAGGGTTCAACATTTTAACTTCTACTTTTAACAGCTTAAATTTCAGGATATCTGGTTTTAAACCTTTAGCTTAGAAAATCAAGTCATAAAAAATTAACATAAATATTTATACATTTGCATTTTTCATCACTCACTGAAATTACTAATTATATGAAGCTTATAGGAGTAGCCTTCCTTCTACGTTAAGATGTGGTACCTGACAATTTTCATATTATATTAACCCTGTCAATGTTCTCATTATGACATAAAAAAAGCAAAAAAAACCCTTTACTCCGGGAAATTAGTGACCTTAAAAAATCCCAAGATTAATTTTGAAGCTAGGAATCAATTCAACATTCTAGCCACATACCAAGTTAAGGCAAAAGCCCTTTCTCCACCATGTTTCCCATATTTTATTTTCTGATCAGGAAAAGAATCAGTCTAATGAGTCATTAGGCGTAACAAAATGGTACTTCCCTGGTGGCTATTCATGACTGTTGCAGGGAGTAGTTAAGGACTGTCTACTGTTAGAAAATGCTATAATAAATTCAAGTACTGTGGTGTCACAGAAAACGACTGGGAGTCTGAAAACTTGGGTTTGAGGAGACTGTTCTCTTGTATTTACTAGCTCTATAATCAAGGGGAAATCACTTAGCCTCTCTAAGGCTCAATTTCCTGATCAATAATAAGAGATATTTACACTAACTACATCGGTATTGTGAAGGAAGCTCTTTGCAAACCACAAATCATATAATTCTGAGCTACTTTTATTAAAACTTCTAATAACAGAAATGCATCTGGTTTATGTAGGTCTATTTAGTATAGATTATCCTTTAACCTACATAAGTCCTGACCTCCAACTTGATGCTATTAACTGAAGTCAACATCGCTGATCTTCAGGATATTGTGTGAATGTTTTATTTAAAAAAACAGTCTAATTCCTACTGGAAAATGTAAAAAGGATAGCTCTTTGAAAGATATTTAAGCATTAGGTATATTTTTGTAAGAGCAGAGAAAGGACAAGAAAGTACAGTATAGTGTATAGTACTATATTGCTAAAAGAGGACACTAATTGACCTAATAAATATTTTAAGTCACCTGATTCATGGAATGCGTACATCCTTATTTTCTACTCTACTTTCCAACAGGTAAAAACATACTATTAAAAATCAAATTAGCATGTTTGCTTCAATCTCATCGTTTCTACAAAGCAATTACTGATGAAATATAAAATTTTGATGATACATATGCTACAGTAGGACTGATGTGGTAAATGTTCTGTCAGCATTTCCATTATAAACTTTATTTTTTATGGAACTATTTCTTAGTCATAAAATTTTTTTAGGTTGAAACTTGGTACTGAAATGATCAGCCCATGACTATACTTTGTTTTACCAACATTTTTGGAACTGTTTCAGGCAACTTCGGTTTGAAAAAAGCTGTTCCCCCAAAGGAAAAGGCTAGTATAAGTGACTTACTATAGGAAAATTCCATGCAGATTAACTATCAAATGTATCATATGTACAAGATCCAGGAAACTGTGAAAAAGGAGGTGAAGTGTGACTAAGGCCTACCACAAAAAAACAAAACAAAACTGGGATTTAGGCATTATTTGACGATGTTTTTAAAGTCCAATAAATACTTACCTCTGTTCAAGGGAAAGTTGATAAGAGTTATTAAGTGGTTTAGTGTTGAAAGTGTTCAACGGGAATATACATCAGATAACTATCATATACTGTAGTGTGAAAGCATTTTAGTTGCACGTGTACAAAAGATTGTCCAACAGAGGAAACTTGGTAAAATTTTACTAATAATAAAAAAATTAAAATAATAAAAAAGATACTGCTACTAGGGTGAGGTTTGGCATGCAAAGTTTCAACACTGAGCAAGTTTTATGGCCAAGCTATATGTCCTTAAAAATAGGGTTTTATAAATGGAAGCACTGGCACAACCTTCACTATAGTATTGCAAACAGCAACGCTATTTTATATATCCTAGACAATAATGTCTTTTTAAAATAAAAAATGCAGGTTTTTCAACTGGTCTACTTTAATATGTTGGGCTCAAAATTTTTAAACAAAAACAATTTGAACCACGATTTTCCTTAAAATTTCAAAGGTGAAAAGTCCTGGAAATAGACTTGGGACAGTATAAGAGTTTGGCTGATACAGTTAGGCCATCGTGTGTTTCCCCCATGACAAGTCAGCTTTGATTTCAGAGGAGCTCACTCTTGGAGGAGGACACTTCTGGCAAAGACTGACACAGAAGAATATTGGTCAAGTAGGTGGGGGCTACCTAAGAATATCACCTTTCTTAGTAAAGCCCCATATTTCCAAAAAAGCCTTTAAAGACAGCATTTCTCTATTACAAGCAACAGAAAGATATGTTTTGTTTTGGGGTATGGCTTTTTCAATTGTCAGGAAAGATGAAGGCCACCACAAATCTATCCACTAGGCTAGCTAAAACCTTAGCTCAGCCGTGGAGTTTGAAAAACAAGATGGAGTGGGAAGGGAAAATAGTCCATCAAAAAAATGACAGACTTGAATGAGTAATGATTGTAGTCTTTTAAAAAAAAGAAAAAAAAATAAACACCAAAAAGGAAAAAAAAAAACACCAAAAACCAAAGCTATAAAAAACAACTCTCACACCCCAAGAAGAAATTTTTTTAGTGGCCCTGGTCTCAGCATGGTCCTGCCAATTTCAAGCCCCGACCATACACGTATTCTCTAAATGGAATCAGTGGCTACAAAGCGGCCAGCGTATCGTTAGTCACAATACAACAGTAAGGTTGTGAACATACCTGAGCAATGTTCAAGGTCTAGAGCATTGGAGGATGGGCAGGACAAGACAGGACAGAACAAAAATAAAGGAAGAAAAAAAGAAAAGACAAAACAGTGACTATGAGGCCAGCCTCAAGAAACCCAAAGTCAGAACAAGCCCTCCCACATGTCAAGCTACTTTAAAACAAACAAAATAACTGAAAAAAGAAAAAGGAAGAAAGAAAATTCAACTTTCCAATGATGCAATACTGAAAAATGACAAAGGAAATAAGGCTGCAAAAACTAGAGACCCAAATGATAGGAAAAAAAACAAAACAAAACACAATACCACAACAGAATGAAAACCATTAAGAACAAACTATTAGGATTAAGTCATGTGTAGGCTTATCTGGCAAAAGGTATACTTGAGGCTGGCCTTATAGAAAAAAAAGCAATGCAAAAAAAATCAACTTTCAAAATATCTACTTTTCAATTTAAACATTTCCAAAGCAATAATAAATGATAGGAACAATATAGTGTTCAATAAACCTAGTATTATTTTAAATCAAAAAGAAAATCATTGAATAGTCCTAAACTGTTTTGCTCAGTTAGCTATAGCAAAGAAAAGAGAAAAGAATAGTGCAGACTCTATGCAGAATTTACTAGGTTTACAGCATAGTACAGTACCTGCTTATTTAAACCTAGCATATTGCAGACCATGTCTCTGGAATAAGGTTGCTCCAATACGTATCTCAATAAAGCAGTCTGAGGTTCAAACAGATCCTTTAAGAAATAAAGAAAATTGTTGCTTCAAGATCAAAATCAGTTTTAACTTCAAATGATTTGAAAAAAGGTTAACAATTTGGGATATTTTTTATTACTCTTGAGTAAGCAATGTTTAGTAGAAAGTAAACCAGATTGTGAAGGATGATACCTATTTTAATTTAACTGTGTATTTTGGGCAAGTATCTCAATCTCTGTACTTTTTGCACTAGAACAGTTTAAAAATAAGAAAAAATGCTGATTCTAATAGTATTATAGTTACAGAACTGCTAGCCACATGATTAGTTTATTTGTTTTTATGGATTTTTGCCTCTGACATCAAAAAACAAAAACAAACAAAAAAGAAAGACCCTGTTCCTTTCTCATTCAGAATGACTGAAACTCTTGATCATCTCGTGAAAAGTTTTAAAGATACTATCTGAAGTTGTCTCAGTTCCTATTATTCGAGTGCCTAAATGGCCCCCAGAAGGAAAACTAGCCTATTACCTGAAAATGCTCTGCCAGAAAAGGGCCTCTAGCATAAAGGCAGCAATACCATAGACAATTTGAATATCTTTTGAGCAATGTAGTAATCTGATTATGATTCATCACTATCTTTAGCTATATATGTAATGCCTGGGACTACAAAGATGCCAATTATACAGAACATGTCTTATGATTAAAGATTACTGGATGGACCAAAAGTTGGATTAAATTCAATTTCTTATGGTAACAACGTACCTTACCTTATCATATGGTAAAAGGCCTTTCAAAGGAAAGCGAAGAGTTGTAGGATCCAATTTCCAGGAATTACATATGGCACCAGAGTTATTTACCACTGGCAGGAGACTACAGCGCCCTGCATGTATTACATAAAATGCATGTGAGTAAATGCAATGCTTGGCAAACGCATGGTGCCTCACCTCTGAATGCCACAAAATTGAATCTTGTTATTTTAACCTTAAATTACAACTTATTTTCTTGAAAATCATCATATAAAACCTTTTAAGAGAAGTTGTGGGAATATTCTACAGTCATATTCCTTGACTGCTATTACCCTTTGTTTCAGATTTTCAGGCAGATACAATAGGGATTTTGCCTTACTTGATGAAAGAAAAACAGCATGTCAAATAAAGGATGAGGAAGGAATTTCAAGAACTGAACTATTCAAGCACATAGAAGCTACAAAAAGTCAGAACACTCAGAATCAAAGAGCCTCATAATAAAAAATAAACAGAAAAAATTCTGATTGTGTTCTATTCTTCTGTGTGTAAAAAGGTCTGGAAGACAGTTTAGATGACAATGCTTCTGTTATAAATTATTTTCCACACAGGAAATAAAAAAGCCAATTCACCCAAAGAAACAAAGTGATAGAATGCTAAATTATATATGCTATAAGAAACGATGAGCTGATGAAATAATACCCAAATTAACTATATAAAGGCCATATGAAGAAAGACACTGTCTGCATCCAGAGAAAGAACTGATATACAGAAGTACGTATAAAATAATTTTACATACATATACCTATTTGGTAGCCATCTCTAGGGCAGGGGGGAGGAAGGGGAGGGAAAAGAAAGAAATTTATGCGATAATTTTGTTGTATATTTGAAAGAAATAGCAAGTTATGCATAGTAGATTTACAATTTCATGTGCAATCATCGTTTTTATTGTACTGTTATGGAAATTCTTATTTTATTCCATAAGTGAAAAATAAAATTTAATAATAACAAAAAATGAGCTCAATGATCTTAAAAAAAAAACATGGACAGAGTTGCATGAAATAATGAAGAATGAAATGAGCAAAACCAAGGAACATTGCATTAAAGTAACAGCAATATTATTTTAAGAAAAACTGAGTAAATAAGTGATTCTATTATAAATACCCAAATTAACTACAAAGGATATATGAAGGAAGATGCTATCTGCATTGAGAAAGAACTGATGAAAAGAAATATGTAGGGCAGCTAGGTGGCACAGTAGATAGAGCACTGGCCTTGAAGTCAGGAGGACCTGAGTTCAAATCCAGCCTCAGACCAAACACTTGACACTCACTAGCTGTGTGACCCTGGGCAAGTCACTTAACCCCAATTGCCTTAAAAAAAAAGCATGTATAGAATTTTGCATATATACACACATCTGTGTCTAAATGGTAGCCATCCACGCGGAGGTAGAGAGGAAAAAAAATTTACATGATAACTATTATATATTTAAAAGGAATAAGCAAGTTGGACATAACAGACTTGCAGTTTCATGTACAATCATTTATTTTTTTTGGCTAGGCAATGGGGTTAAGTGACTTGCCTAGGGTCACACAGCTAGTGAGTGTTACATGTCTTGAGGCTAGATTTGCACTCAGGTACTCCTGACTCCAGGGCCGGTGCTCTATCCACTGCACCACCTAGCTGCCCCATGTACAATCATTTTAAAAATTATACTATGTTACAGAAATGCTTGTTTTATTTCACAAATTAAAAATAAATAAAAAATTTTTTAAAAAGAACGTAAGCAGCATGAGTGTACAGACTATCTTTTTGCTAATGTTTGTACTGCCAGCTCTCAGCACATCCTGACACATAGTAACTGTTTAATAAATGCTTGTGGACTGACCAAATACAAAAAGAAAAAAAAAAAGAAAAAAGTAAATGGAAATTAAAAAATTTTTTTTCTCTTCCAAAATGAACAATTACTCTAAGGTCATACCAAATTAGTTTTAAATTTCAATTTTTAAATATTACACATTTCCCAAACCAAAAACAATGACAGCTGCCTTACACATTCTTAAAAACTATTAACATACATACAGTTAGGTCTTCATGATTTCGCATGTAAAGAACAGAATACTCTTCTAAGACAAGTCCTCCTAAGAGGTCATACAAGCTCAAGCATCAGAGGCTATCTTTGCGCCAAAAGTGATCACAATTCACTGGGGTATCTGGAACTGTAGTTGGGTTTTGGGGACCAGGCTTTAGTCCTGATTCTGACACTTCATCGTGTGACCTCCAGCATGTTACTTCACTTGTTTGGACTTTAGTTTCCTCATGTATAAAGTGAGGGAGTTGGACTACATGACCTCCCAGGCCCCCTAGCTCTACATCCGTAATGTTATGATGATGATGTTGACGATGTCTGCCCAACTATTAACTTTTCTAAGAAAATCCTGTATGTACAGAAATAACAGATAGTTTATTGATATGAAACTGGTATCAGTGAAGAATCGTGAGAAAAGGACAGGACTGAGAGACAGAAGACCTGCCTAGCTGTCACCAGATATCTTCCTCATCTGAAAATGAGAAAAATAATAGTGCTACTTATCTCACTAGGCTATAATGATCAAATGACACAATACATAATACATTAATGTAACTATTACTGATATTATTATTACCATTAATCATCATAATTTCACTAAACCTCTCTTCATTGTCAATCCATTTCCCATAGTAGATATTGTCTACCAAATGATGATTGAGGGAAAGAGAGAGCAGGGATGGAGGGAAGGAGGCAGGAAGTCAAGCTAAGGACATAGTAGAAGGAAATAAATAGAAAAAAAAAGCAATCTGTGTTCAAATGTGGAGAATCATCCTTTCACCTGTCAATTTACACTTACTGCCTTTCTACTACTCTAGCTCTCTACCTTTATGAATGGAGGAAAAAATGAGACCCATGTTGGAATAGAAGAAGTATTATCACTGACATTTCAGCCCTCCTTTGCATGCATCCTGGTAAATACTTGTAAGTCCCTGGGTCATAAGGTCTAAGAAGGCATGTCATTTCTGTACATACTGGACATTTGGAAAACCACTGGCCTATACTTGAAGAGCTAAAGCCATTTCTGAAGGAAATGTGATGCGTAAGAATGTCTCGAAGTGTATATAAGTACAGACAAACTGGAAAACCACATGTTAAGTTCTTTGAGACTACATAAGACATCTAACAGACCATGTCAAATCAGAAGAGTCAAAGAACTGGTACAAGTTGGACTTAGAGTGGGTTGGCAGCCTCCCAGGAACTTCTCCATGCTTTGGGATTCTCTGGAAGTCTTATTAACAAACTTGTTTCTCCATGTCACCAAAAACAAAATCTTCTAAAGTGCCTTTAAACTGAAGCTAATAAGAAAGACCCAATCTAAAGAGGTGTCCTCTTCCTTCTCTTCCTCTCACTCCAAAACAAAACAGTACTCCTTACAATCCAAGATATACCTTATATTAAATCAATGCTTTTATGCTCTCAAAGATGCTAAAAAGTCACCATCAAAAACCAAATGCTTACAGAGAAATAGATGTTCCTTCTGCTGCAATTCAAAAGCTACACAATAAATTTGGAAACTAATGTAGATATTAACATTTTTTACCTTTTAATTTAATCTTACCACAAATGGAGTTTATTCTTGCTGTGGGCCTGAAGGTATCCACAAAGTCTGACACAAGGTTGCCTAATAACTTAAAAAGAAGATAAAAGCAAGGCAGATTTGGCATACAAGGTTCAATCTCAAAGAGTATTTACTTAAAAAATTTGTCACTTTATGCTTTTCTGAATTTAGTCAAGTACATAGCCACATGTATAAGGATAGGGATGAGACCTTGTAATGTCATTGTTAGGGCTCAGGGTCACAAAGATAGTACATGTCAGTAGAAAGTTTTTAACTCAATTTTTCCTGGTTTGGAAGCTGGTTCTCTAACTACATGCTACATCTCTATTTGATTTTTAAAAATATGTACAGTTTACTTTGTGGCAAATAAAACTCTCAAAATCAATGAACAAATTAATTTTCCATCCTCTATGGTCATGAGAAGAAAAAGTTTGGGGTGGGGGGGAAGTATTGCAAAATAGTATATTTATGGCAAATACTCAGTCTATCCAAATTAGTATGGCAATATCACAATTAGCTGCTAAAACCTAACCATGAATTGACAAAACTCACCCAGTGTGGAAGTTTCCCCTCAGGATATAATTTTCTGATCTCTGTAACTGCAAAATAGGCTGGTAGTAAACAGGCATTTCGTTCCAAAATATAAGCTATAACCTGTGATGACAAGATACAAATTTAATTCAAGCCAAAACAAATATTCTTTGACAGAATTTTCACTGTCAAATCACTGTCAGTGATTTTAAGAGGTATAACTAGGAACATTAGAGATTAATTTGTGCATGAGGAATTTAGTTTAAGTATAAAGAAGCAGTTTCCACATAATGAGGATTATTAAAATGCTGGAGTAGGTTGCTGACAGGTTGATTTCCTGCTAGGGAAAGCCTTTAAAATAAGGCCAGTGACTGGGAATAGAGGCATAGACCTGTATTCCCTGTTCCTGGGGAGGCTGAGGTTGATGGATTGCTTGAACTTGGAAGTTCTCAGTTGCAGAAGGGCTAAAACCAACTGGGTGTCTGAAATAAGTCCCATACCAATATGATGAGCTCCGAGGAGGAGGGGGACCAGCAAGCAGCCTAAAGCAGAACAAATTTCCACCCATAGTAAAGTGGAGCAGGTCAAAAATTCCACGAGATTCAGTAGTGGAATAGGGCCCAGAATGGCTGCTGTACTTCCAGCCTGAACAAGGCAGGGACGGACACTCAGTCTCAGAATGTAAAAATAAATGAATAAAGAATAAAACAGGGTCAGTGATGAAGGTAGAGGGAGATAGGACTAGATTACTGATCTCTAAAGTGTTAGTCTGCACAGCACAGAGTCCATGAAGGTAGTCTAAGTCCTTAGGCCTGATATGTCATTAATAATATACCAAGCTATACCTGTCTTTACCAAATATTCTTATAATATTTAATAAAAATCAAATAAATCATTGGATTTCATAACAACAATTATTTATTAATTTAAAGTAATGCAATTCTGTTAGTATTAATGAGGTTTTTCCCCTCCCTCCTTTTTGTCTTTGGTGGTAAGTGAAAAGAATACAGAAAAGTGATCTAAAAGGTTTTTTCACTCCCATGATCCATGGAGCCCAGAAATCTGAAAACTAGTAGACTGAATAGACTGGAAGAGTTCTTTGGAATGATAATTAGAAATAAAATTCAGGTGCATATGTAAGTTACCTCTTTTGCTGCTAGAAGTTGCTGTACCACAGCTGAGCTCACTGTATTCGGTATTGTTAAGATTTTCTCCAAAATCACTTTTAAGAGATCGCGTACACCCTTATGGTTGGAAGAAGAAAACATAAGGAAAAAAGAAAAACCAAGTAAAACCAAGAAATCTGACTCAACCTTTTTTTTTTTTTAAAGTACAGAAAATTTCAGAATCAGAAACTTTACCTTTTGGTCCACTTTTTTTAAACCCAGTTAAACATTAATGCTTTAAACTATGGTCTATTCAAATTCAAGAAGTTATCTATAGTTTAACAAAAATAATCCAATATTTGTTAAGTAGAACAAACTACTTAGATAACTTAGAGGAAAGAAAGAAAAGACAGATATCTTCATGCCTTACAATATACATACCTAACATTAACTACTCTGAATTTCTAGATCCAGGCCAAACTTTGCAACTCAGGGTTATATTTTAAGTTCAATCTACTTAAAAAGGCCTAGGTTGCTGATTTGATAATGTTGCAGAGAATAAAAATTTTTAAAGCGCCTAAAAGAAAAAAAATCATTTTCTACAAAAATTTTATCAAAAAGATGCAACGTATTTGAACATGGCTGAAAAGTTTCAAGAATAGATAACAAACTATCCTGCACTCCTCCATCAGTAATCCTTTTCACTATTCAACAATCAATTTATTTCTTGTCCTCTATTCCAATTCTAAACTGATTCTAGTTTCTTCTTTATTGCTTTTGCTTAACTCTATTCTCCTCATGTGAGATGTTTCCTTTTCTTTCAATTCATATCCATTCCTTGCCCATGATTTGCCAGGCACGTAGTAAATGACCAACGATCTGGTACAAAATACAGCTCAAAATTTACCTGTACTGAAACCCTATCCTTCTCTATTTACCCTTTTCCTCTAATTGCCTGAGGATAGAAAATACTCTTAGAAAAATTGGAATAAACAAGTCAAAAGAACATTAGATTCTTATTTTTAATCATATCTTGTGCTTTTTCATTTGCTCCATAATTGTTCTCAGGATGATTCAAGCCTATGTTTTCTTTCTCCAACTATACAAACTCATTAAAGCAAGGCCTTTCTTCTAAAAACTTTTCCAGGGTCCCTAAGGTTCTATCCTAGAGCCTCCCCGCCTTTTTTTCACTACACTGTTCACTTGGGGACCTAATCAGCTTACATGGTTTTAATTGTAATCACTATTCTAATCACTCCCAGAACTATTTATCTAGTTCCCTAGTTTTATTCCTGAGCTCTAGCCTTCCATCACCAAAATTGGGTATTTCAAAAAGGATGCCCTGTAGGCAGCTCAAACTATGTCCAAGTCAGAATTTATTACATTTTTCCTTCAAACACACGTTAGTTTCAAACTTCCTATTTCTGTAAAGGGTAACACCATCCTTCAAGTCATCTAGGTTTGAAATCTTGAAATCAACTCTGACTTTTCATTTTCCCTCACCCTACATATCTATTCAATTGTCAAGCTTTGTTATTTCCACTTATTCACATCCAGCTAGGTGACAAAGCATCAGGCTTGGAGTCAGGATTGAGTTCAAATCTGACTTGGTACTTAATAGCTGTGTGACTCCAGGCAAGTCACTTAACATGGCACATCATAAACATTTAAAAAATTCCTTCCTTTCTCTCTGTCCCTTCTTTCTACTCACATGACCAACACAGGTCAAGCCCTCATCACCTCATTCTCAGACTACTGGAACAGCCTCTTAATTGGTATTTGTTCTTCATGTATCTTCCCCCCACATCCAATCATTAATCACCTTCCACAAAGCTGACAAAGTGATTTACCTAAACTACAGGTCTGACCATGTCACTCTGCCACCCAATAAACTTCAGAAGCTTCTTACTGCCTCAAGGATGAAGTATGAACTTATCCCTTTCGAATTTAAAGCCCTTCCTAATCATGGCCTGGCCCCATAAGGCTTTCCAACTTTATTTTACATCATTCTTCTTTTTTACATCATTCTTCTTTCCATGTTCTACATTTTATCCAAATTGGCCTTTTTGCAAATACTCACACAGAACAGCTACTGTCTCCAGACCTTTGTACTGGCTATCTCCCTGGCCTGGAACACATTCCCCTGTTATTTCTACCTCCTGGAACATCTTGCTTCCTTTAGGACTAAGTTCAAATACTACCTTCCACATTAAACCTTTCCTATCTACTGAGCTTCTAATGCCTTTCTCCAAAACCCACCTGGCATATTTTCTTTACCTACTTTTAAGGACTTATTTTCTGCTCCAACTCAATGTAAGTTCCTTAAGGGCAGGAACTGTTTCACTTTTGTCTTTGTATCATCCAGTGCCCATCACAGTGTCTGGCACAGAGAAAGCACTGAATAAATGCTTGATGGCTGATTGACAGTATAAAGATGGTTGTCAAAAAATATATTCAGCAGATTGAGGGAGGGGGTAATAAGAAGCAAACACTTCTAAGGAGGGACAAGGTCAAAAGAGAGAATAGAATAAATGGGGGGGAATAGGATGAAGGGAAATATACTTAGTTTTTCACAATATGACTACTATGGAAGTATTTTGCATGACTACACATGTATAACCTGTATTGAGCTGCTTGCCTTTTCAATGAGGGTGGGTGGGGAGGGAGGAAGGAAGAAAATTTAGAGCCCAAAGTTTTAAAAACACATGTTAAAAAAATTGTTTTCACATAAAAAAAAGCATTCAAACACTTGCCTCTGTATGTATTAGGATATACTTTTATATAACGACTAACAAAAATAAGAATGTTAACTCAGTTGAATAGATTCTTCTGTATAAAACCAGATCCCTTCGCAGAACTGTGAGAGTTGTAGCTCATAAGATTAAAGACACAAGGCATTACAGCCTTGTGTACTCTATAATGAGCTGAAAAAAATTTACCAGGCACACCAATCAGAATATACTTTTGAGCTCAGTTTTAAAATATAACAATCCTTTACAGCCCCCTTCAGGAATTTAGAAAATAAACTGCCTTATAATAAGTACATAATTTTAAAGGCACTGAGAATACTTCCACCGTGAAAAATGAAGTATCTATATTAAAAATGCTTATCACTTTAAAAAGCAAAAATCACTCCAAGTAAATAAAAATATACTACCTTGTAATCCACACCACCAATTATTTTCCGAACCAGTTTAAATGTCAATGCCCAAAGTTGTGTTCTTTCCCATTCAAGACTGTCAGAATTTATCAGGGATTCACAAACCATCCTACAGAAAAGAAGCAAAAGTTTTGAGACAGAAATATATATTTAAGAAACAAGACATGTATAACACAAAGCAAGGCTAAGGATGTCGCAGGCCTATTATGACCACTGTTGTTCATTTCGTCACGTCTGATCTGCAATTTTCACAATCTCTTCTGTGTATGTGTACTGTGTAAAGATATTTTTGCCTAACTACATGTACCGTCTTCCCTCAAAGAACCTGTTTTTAGACGAGTAAATCTTGAGCTTCCTTTGCTTTCCCCTCAGGAGTGTGGATACTAGATTACTACATAATCACATTTTTGGAGAGATATTTGCTAAATGAAGAAACTGAAATAGCTGGGGGAAACTGATGAAGTTTTCCTCTCAATTTTAGCCTATTTGAATTCAAAGAGCTCTCATTCCAACTGCTACAGTGAGTGGCCCTAATTTAATGGTAGACTAACAAAAATTTTAAAACTTAGCAATTTTTTTTTCAAAGTGCTTTAACTTAATCATATGAGAATGGGTGTTCAAAAGTGTCTATAATATGCTTTATACTCATATAAATGTAAAATGTATATACATATATTTAAAACTTACTAATTACTAAGCACTAAGCAAATTAAGTTTTTAAATAGGAGATAAAAGTTATAAGAAGCTACAAGGTAGACTTTTGTCACTAATCTCCTACAGATAGAAAATATACCCACAATGAAGGGCAAAGCCAGACAGATTTTAATTCTAGGAATTTACCAAAATAAAGCTCCACAAACACAAAAATGATGGCACCTGGAAATCAAATGTTGGTCTCTCATAAAGTGATCAGCATCACTGAAGTAACAGGGAAATTTAAGAGTGATGTCCTTTATGTGGATAAGACAGTTACAGTTTTTACTTAGCAGTGTTTTCTAGCAGTGAAGTTGAACTTTATATGAAGAAACCAGGATTTGTCATTACTGAGGAACTGTGAACCTAGCTGAAAGCTTTCTTCATGTTGTTTTTCCTCTAATAACTGATGTTTACTTTTACCAACATGCAGGGAGCACTATATTTGTTTTATCAAAATTTCCCACCCAAATGCCTTATGCTAACAATCTCATCAATAATAAATGTCAATGTAGGCAAAGGCATCCTGGATTGTTCTTTCTTAATACTGGACAGACCTGGGTGGAAGAAGACCAGTTTCCACTGCCATTGCTAAGCAGTCATAGAGAAAAGATATTCTCTTAGGGCTATGCTGGCTATGAATGAACCGAACAATCCACTGGATGCACTGTTCGTGGGACTCCTGGAAAAGAATGCAAATGTTTACAGTTATAATTTGCTACTAGTTCATAAGCAACTGAAATACTCAGGTATAAGGATTAAAAAGATAAATTAATCGAAATAAAGCATGAGATAAAATTGCATATATCTTATTAAATGTTATTAAATGAATACATTGCTAGAAAATATTCTCATGGTCTGTGGGACTGTCTTCATCTAGTTTCTCTGTCGTAAATTAGCAAAGGAAAAGAAATACTTGGAGACCAGTAAGGCAAAGAGAAGTGTTATGCACATACCACTACTATCCTTTTTCTTTTCAAAATACCAGGATCTTTTTTGCAAGATGTGCTACTTTGAGGAATTCTTTGGGAGTTTATGTTAGGAACTTTAAAAAAGAAAGAGGTGAATAATTTTGAAGGATAATTGCTACTTGAAAGTAGGGCAAAAGACATGATAGCAGTCTGGCTAAACTTTCCCTAGTTATAATTCAAATACAGAAACAGATATTTTTATTACAGAAATGGACAGAGACAAGAGGAGGTTTTGTAGCTTCAACAATCTTCAGTTTTTGTGGCTGGTTTTTGTTAGACCTTTGTTTCCTAGCACTAAATACAGTGCTTGGCACAGAGCAAGTGCTTAACAGATGACTTACTGGATTAGAAGCTACCAGATGGTCCACGGCAGTAAGCACCTCCCCTTCAAATGAAATAATTTCCCTGAGTCTCATGTTTTTCCCCACCCAAAGAGGGACATATTCTTGTCTCTTCCATACATACACAATTTCTAGTTCCAGCTATGCCCAACAAATGGACCAGGTCGAATAGTTTTGTCTCAACTCTGTATTGGCAGAAGGGAGCATGTCACTGTGGGAATTGTGCATTTCAGTGGACTGTCTTGATAACAAGAGGATTCTTGACATTCCATCCCAAAGGCAGGCACCAGGATGTCCCTGCTCAATAGGTCTTCTGGGCCAGATCTTGTCCCATCCCCCAACCTTACATCTTCTATCTCAAGCCTGCCACTTGTTGGTGAGGTAACACACTACCCTTTAAAGATCAGATATCCCAGGGGGCACCGACCTAGGAATCAGGAGGACCTGAGCTCAAATCCTGCCTCAGACACTTGACATTTACTAGCTGTGTGACCCTGGGCAAGTCACTTAACCTGACTGCCTAGCCAAAAAAAAAATTAGATATCCCCTCCTGGCTTTAGCTTGGGAGGAAAGCAACTAGTTTTTTGGAGTCATGTTAAATTGTAGGAAGGGGAGATGTTTAGTTCTGACTTCCCTAGACCCTAGCGGAGGGATAATAGTAAATAAAAATATTTCTTCCTATCGCTCTAGCGTTACCTTCTTTTGTGGCGTACCATATGTACTGGTGTGTACAGGGTGTTCAGGGAGGATTAGCACTTTCGGTAACGCGTGCTTGCTGAACCATTTTCAGGGCTGCTCATCCACTTTTGGGGTCTATTTCACCCAATTCTCACCTGTAGCTCCAAGAAGCTGTAGCATACAGTGAACCATCTCGGCAGACAGGCTAAACTAATTTGAGGGTAACTGACAGGCCTCAAACCTCTAAGTGAGTTAGGGGAATGTTCACCCCAAGCATGTGACTTTCCCTAGTGGAACAGGTAGATGAGAACATGTATTTATTCCAATAGCCACGAAGGTGGCTGAAGCAGGAATCGTGGAGTGTTTAGAGACAAGAGAAGATGCCAAGGTCATCCACTGCATCCTGAGCCATCACCAGTTGTCTTGACTTTTGTCCTGCTACTGGACTTTGATGACTCAAGAAGAGAGAGTGAGGCTGACAACTCTGTGCAACTCCACCTCAATTAAATCCAATTCGCGCCCCAAGTCAAGACATAACCAGTGCTCATCAGTCCTCTTGGAAAATGAAGTATGGATAACAACTATACGCACTGCTCTCACAACCGTGGCATCAATCTGTTGCCCTCTGTAGTTGGTCCTGTCTGGGACGAAGAGCCTTCACTATGTGCTGGTTATACTTTTAACAAGAAAGTAGACAGGAAGAAGTTTGTTTGCCCCAGTTTTACAGATAAGGAACTTGAGGCACAAAGAGAACAAGTGGCTTGCCCAAGTTATTAGCCATTTGGAAGTATAAGAAATAAAGCTTAGGTTTGTCACTATTTCCCATATAATATTCTGTCTCACAATAAACTTTGCTAATTCTTGTTTTATTTTCTCTTTTTCATAAATACAATCCATGATCACTTCTAAGCTTTTATTGAGAGAAAATTAGTTAAATTTATACCCACACATATATAGCAGGGGAAGTCAGTGGCTAAGAAAGTAAGGTTTAGATGATCAGAGAATGTTAGAGTGACAAAGGGATATTAGAAATCATCTATTCCAGGTCTTAAAGTCTTAACTTTGTGTCATGAACCCCTTTGGCAGTCTGGTCAAGGCCACAGAACCCTCTTCTCCCAATAATGTTTTTAAACGCCTAAAAATAATTTAAATACATAAGTTTACAAAGAAAACCATATCAAAATTTTTTTTTCAAAAACAAGTTCACAGAGTCCAAGATAAGAAATCCTTATCTAGTCCAACCCTGTTATTTTACAGATGATAAAACTGAGGTTCAGAGAGGGGGCAAGTGATTCACCCAAGGTCACGAAGCTAATCCACGGCAAAGCTAGGAGTAGAAGTCAAGCCTCCTACCTTTAACATGGATATGATTCTACAGATAATCCAAAAAGAGCGAACTCCTGACTCTACTTCCATCAGTGTTCCTGTCTTCCCTTATTTCCCAACTGAAAGCATCTTTACTATCTTTTGTATTTCCAGGCACAAAAATTCTTACTTAGGGTACTGTTGAACTCCTGCTGTTTCTGAATGCAAGGGAATGAAAAGGATGCTTGGCTCATATGTTGAAAATTATAAACTGACTTTTTGGTCTTCCAAAGTTTTATAGGAAAGCTACTGTATGGATTCTGAAGACATTAAAATGTTGTTTAGTTTGACATAATGAATCTTACTCCTACCCACCACCACCAAAACATGGTTAAACACAGGAATAGGCTACAGAATCCCCATTTCTTGAATCTTTAAAAACAATACGGAAGGCTGCTTATATTACATCAATATAATGAAATGTATAGGAGTTTTAGTCCTGGTTTCCTTATCTAAACCAAGTAATTATATACATACTGTTTTCTCATCTGCCAGATGAAGTTTGAAAAGAAAATCCTTGTCCTAATGACCTCATAGGGCTTATAAGGATCAAATATGATTAGCATGTGTACAAATATTTTAAAATCACAATACTACATATAAGATGCTATTATTTAAACTTTAGTGCTCACCTGAGAAAGGCTACCCCAAAACTGTCTGAAAGCTCCCAAGCAGCTGATAAGTTTTGTTTTTTCATCTTCTGGTGTATCCATAAACATGCTAAAGAAAGAAAATACTGTTATCATCTGACACCAACTGCAACAAATGGTCACCATCATAATTAACAGCAGCCCCTACACAGGGCCTTCATTATCTACCAAATATGATGTTGATTAAAGTATATCCAGGGTGACATAAAACTAGAGAAGGAAAGAAAAAAAAAAGGATACTCCACAAAAGGATTTTTATCTTGCATATTACTTACCCTGGAAATGCTTCTTCTATGATTTCTGTTTTCTGTAAAATGAATAAGCAAAAACCTCCATCAAATTTTAAAGGATTTAAACATATTCCCAATTTGTCTGGGCTCTCATACTTTTATTTGTTGTGTGACCTTCAATAAACTACTTAACTTCTGTCAGTTTTAGTCAAATTGAACCTTTTTCAAAATAAAGGACTAAAATTAGCTTAGAGTGAATAAATAATCAACTGATCAACAAGATTTATTAAGCACCTATTGCATTAGGTGCCAAGTACCATGCATACAAAGAAATAAAAGAAACAGTCCCTGTTCTCAATTTGCTTACACTCTATCAGAGGAAATAGCCTGGTGACCTAAGGCAAGTCCCTTAAGCTTGGTGGGCCTCAGTTTCTTATCTACAAAATAAGAGACTTAGGGTTAGATGCCTCTAAAGTCCCTTCTCACCTTATGATCCTATGAATATATGAAAAATGTGCACAAACACAAGGTAATTTGGGGGATTAACACTAATAGCTGAAAGAACAGGCAAGGCCTTATGTAGAAGGTGGCACTTGAGGAGCTCTGAAGTGGCAGAGGGGAAGGAGACCATCTAAGGTATGAGGGAACCTGTAGTGTCTGAGATTGGTGGGCAGGCAAAGGATCTGCTTCCTCAGCCATGCTCCAGCATATGGTTTCTCCCACAAAGGAAAGACCTCATCTCTAAGTGTTCTGAGCAAAAGAAGTGAGCAAAAGCTCCCACTGAGGCTCAGAAATCTTGGCTCAGAGTGCCCTTGGCAGAAGGCTGCAACTGCACATGAACTGGCATGAAGGTAGATGATAGATGAAAGATCTTCCCCCAGGTCTTCTCGTCATCAGGCTGACCCCTCAGCTGATCACAGCATCAGTTGGAGCTGCCCCAACTTTTGTCCTGCAAAAAATTCTAAGTGAGCTCAATATGATGAGTCTACAGCTCATGGGATTTTGGATTGCATTAAGAAAGACCTAAGCTTTCCAATAAGAGGCGAAACACCCCACGAACTGTCCTCAAACTTCATATTTGGAGTACTGTGCTCAGTTCTAGACACAAAGAAACAGGTCTGACCCTGTCATCTCTCTACTCAACAAGCTCCTGGGGCTCCCAAGCAATTTGCCTCTTTGGTCTTCCACAGTTCTACGAGGAAGTTACTAGTTGGATTTTGAAAACATTAAAATGAGCTGCAGTTATTTAGTTTGGCATGATGAATCTTACTCCCACCTAGAGGTGTCGGATCAAACATAAAATATTTTGCTTGGCATGTTAAAGCCCTTCACAATCCTGCCCCTTTCCCTTTCCAATCTTCTTATACTCTGCTTCTCTCTGTGCATTCTACAGGTCAGAGACACTGGATTTCTTGCTGCTTCTAGCACAGGACAGTCTATCTCCAGACTCCGTGCCTTTGCCCTGGCTGTCCCCGTGCCTGGCGTGCTCTCCCTTCTCCTTTTGGCCTCCTCATTTTCTTCAAGACTCAGCTCAAATTCTACCTTCTGCAAGAATCCAGCGCATCCCCCCTCAGAGTTTCCCTTCTATTCGACCACGATAGCTTGCTTATGTCGTTTGCGGGTTGTCTGCCCCGTGAGATTGTGGGTCCCGTGACGGCCGGGCCTGGTTTTTCTTTTCTTTGTGTCCCCAGCGCTCAGCCCATGGCCCGGCACACAGCAGGCGTTTAATCAATGCTTTTGGAACGTCAGGACAGAAGCCCAGATTCTCCGGCTCTGCGCCAAAGCAAGGGAAGGAATCTCCCTCCTCCCCGCCCTTCCCACGGCGAGCTCGGACACTGCGGCCGGTCAGCACCGGCTCCGGACTCACCACGACCTCCTCGAAAATGCTCTGCAGCTGCGTCTCCATCTGCACCATGGCGGCGGCCGGGGCGGCGGGGCCGGGGCAGGGCCCGCAGCCCTCCTCCTCCTCTGATCGCGGCTCGGGCTCCGCGGCCGCCCAGGGACGCCCGGCTCGAACGTGGGCGCCGCGAGCTGGGTGCCGAACGCTGGGCGACGCCCCGCACAGCCAGGTACCCAGCGCGGCGCCCAGGGGACGCCCGGCTCGCTCCCTCCCGGAAACGCCGGGCGGACGCGCGAGCCAACGACAGGGCACTTCCGGAGGCTCCCGGCCAATCACGAACGAGGAGGCCCCGCCCCCGCCAGTCTCCTCCTTCCTAACCAGTTCGCCTGCTCTGCAGTCCCCCCTGTCTGGGCTCATTTAGGATCCTCCACCTCGACTCCCACCTTCAGTCTCTCACTGAATAGTTTCCATTCTGTTTTAGGCAGTGGGAAAGTGTTTGCCCATTTCTTTATGTCCCCAGCGCTTAGCTTAGTGTCTGGCATATAGTAGGCGCGTAGTGAACACTTTCTGTTCTTTCATGGCTTGTCATGCACCTTTGTGTAATGTTAATTTTGAAAATGAATTTTATCTTTTTTTTTTTTAATTGACACTTGGCAGCAAGGTGGCACAGCGGATACAGCATACAGCGTAGGGCCTAGAGGCAGGAAGACTTAAATTCAAAATTGGCCCCAAACGCTTACTAGTTCTGTGACCCTGGGCAAGCCACTTAACCACTGTCTGCCTCAGTTTCCTCATCTGTAAAATGAGGATGATAATAACAGCACCTACCTCCCAAGGTTGTTGTGTGAAATGAGATAATAATTGTAAAACGCTTAGCACAGTACCTTGAACATAATAAGCATTATACAGTTATATATTATCTAACAATTATATTTCATGCATATTTGTCATTAAAATATAAATGTTATATATCAATTGTGTATATATGTATATGTGAGTGCTTGTGTGTATACACACACACACACACACACAAAATCACAGTTCCTTTTGAAAATATAACCTTTCCCCCTGTCATCCAAAGAGCTATACTGTGCAAAAATTAATATCTGTTTTGGATATGTTGAGTGCGAAATGCAAATTGGAGAGATATCCAATAGGCAGTTTATGGTAAAGGACTGGACCTCAGGAGAAGAGTGCCAGATAAGCAGGTAGGTGGGAAAGAATGAGGAAAAAGAACAGTCCCAAAGAAATGAGCCTGAACATCCACATGCCTGGCTTTGTTTGTAACATTCTCATTCCCATTCTCCCACCTCTGTAATGAAGGGAGCTTTGGATTTTGATATTCTATAAGAAGGCCATCGCGTAGAGAGAGAGTAGGGTGTTTCAGAAAACAAGAAGCATTTATTATATGCCTACTGCATGCAGGGAGCACATTTAGAAGTATCACTTCCTGAAAGAAGAGGGTATGCTGGGTTGGAGTCATAGCTTTCTTTTGAAAAGCGGGAAGGGGAGGGAGGAGGGCAATGGTCTTAACTAGATCTGTCTTGTTACTCTTTATAAATTTGATTACCATCCTTAATACATTTACCAGATAAGACATGCTTTCCTAAAAGAAAGAGATGAGAATTAAGATAAAGGATTTTAGTGAAGGGCATTGTTTTTGCCAAGAAAAAGTCCTCATCGAGTTTCCTTCCTTAAGGTAAATCTGGAAAGAACTTTAAACTATGGGGATACTTTTTCTTAATATTTTCAGTTCAATTAAAAAGAAGGTTAATATGTTTCTACAATTTTTACCTTACAATAGTTTCAGAATGTATCCCTGCCTGTTTGGATAGAAAGAGATCTGGAGGAAAGATTTCCACATGTTTCTAAGACATTTTGTTTTCCTGGGTCTGATTGTGTCCCATGCCCTTTCTGGTGGTGTATACTATGTATCTCTCTTTATTAATAGGAAACGCTACCTGTGCCTGTTATGATGTTACCATTGCTTTCTGCCACAGTCACAGTGATGTAAAGCAGACCTGGGTTCAAATCACAACTTTGAGAGACTCTAGGCAAACCCCTTAACTTCTCAGTGGGCCCAGGCGACTCTCTAACACCATAAATTGAAAAACAAGTGCAGATATGTATCGGTACAGAGCTGTTGCCCCCTCCCACTGACCCTGAAACCAAAATGGAATTATGTAAATTATTCAAAGAACATATCTTGAGTATTTCCTTTACTATATCTAAAATATTTAAATAGAGAAATGAAGAATCTAAGAGAGATAAATTAGAATTATTGCATATTCCCCTAAAAATAGTAATAAAAATTAGTTTTCTTCTTTAAAAAATATTTCCCTCACCCTCCCACTCAAAGAGCTATCCCTTTTAAAGGAAAGAGGCAAAAAATAAAGTAGCTCAGCAAAACACATCAACCATATCAGAAAGTAAATGCAGTATTATACACTTATAGTCCCAAATTTCTGCAATGAAGGGAAGGATTTCTCCATTCTTATTCATGGCCAAACTTGGTCATTATATTTACACACTATTCACTTTCCTTTTATTGTTTTTTCCATTTACATGGTTGTGGTCACTGTGCATATTTTTACCTGGTTCTGTTTACTTTGCATCAGTACATGGGATTTTTTCTTTGTCTCTCTGAATTCTTCATATTCATCACTGCTTATAGAATAATAATATTCTTTTACATTCATTTATTGCAATATGTTTAACCCATTTATTCCCATTTGATGGGCACCTACTTTGTTCCCAATCCTTTGCTACCATATAAAGGTTTTGCTATAGACTATTTTGGTATAAAGGTCACCATCCTTTCTGTCTGACTTTTTAGCTGGAGCAGTGGAACCTCTGGGTCAAAGGGAATGGTCATTTCAACCACTTTTTTTTGTTAGCATAATTCCAAATTGCCAACAAACATTTATTTGTTAAGCACCTATTTATGTAGAAGGCACTGGAAATACAAATGACAAAACTGAAAAGTTATCCCTGCATTCAAAGAGCTTAGGTTCAACTTGACTCCATACATGCAAACAGATAAGCATATACAGGATGATTTATTTATGTACATGATGATTTAAGGCAGAAAGCAGTAAAAAATAGATGGGAAGGATTTCTCTTGGGGTTTGGCACATCAAATTGAACCCTGAAATAGTGCAGGGAAGAAAGGAGAAAGTACATACCAGGCATGAGGATAGCCTAAGGTGGAAGATGGAAGATTTAGGGCAATGCTCTGAGTTTGAGAAATAGGGAGTGGATTTGTTTAGCTGTAATGGAGACTATGTGAAGGCACCTATGTGAATTCAGTCTGTAAAGGTAGACTAGAGATCCTGAAAGGCTTTAAAAGTGAAGTTAAAGTTAGTACCTGATCCTAGAGGCAATAGGGAGTCTCTAAACATTTTTCAATGGAGGAATGCTATGGTTAGACATGTTTTAAGAAGATACTTTTTGTAGATGTGTAGATTGTGATGAATTGAAGATGGGTGATACTGCAAGCCAAGATCCCAAATAGAAGGCTATTGTAGTAGTTCAGACTAGAGATGATGAATGTCTGAACTTGAATGGTAGCCATGAAGATGTAAAAAGTAAATGGTAGGACCTATGAATTTTTAACCTGTGTAAACAGAAGGGTGATAAGTGTCTCAACAGAAATAGGAAGGTTTGGAGAAAATATAATAATTTCTGTTTGGGATGTGCTGAGTTTTTGAAATGCCAGTGGGACAGAACCAATAGGCAGTTTGTGGTAAGAAACTAGAAGCAAGGCGAAAAGGGCTAGAGAGGCAGCTAGATAATACAGTTGAGAGAATACTGGGTCCTAAATCAGGAAGATCCTAGTTGAAATCTGGCCTCAGATACTTCCTAGCTGTGTGACCCTAGGCAAGTTACTTAACCTCCGCCTGCCTCAGTTTTCTTAACAATAAAATGAGACCATAATAGCATCTACCTCCCAGGGTTGTTGTTAAGATCAAATAAGATAAAATTTTTAAGTATTTAGCAGAATGTCTGGCACATAGCAGACCCCCAATAAATGTTTGTTCCCTTCCCTTATAGATATAAATATAATCATCTCTGTAAAGGTAATGATAAGTGCATGGGTGCAAATGAGATTGATCACTGAGAGAGGGTATCTAGAAAGGAAAGAAGAGGTTCTGAAATAGAATCTTGAAAGACACCCCTCCCCACCTCCTCCCCACCTCTGCCCATGGCTAGAAGTTTGGATGTCACTTAGCCAAGAAGACAGAGGATTAGGTATATTGAAAGAATCCATAGATTATCTCCAGACCTAAAATCACACCAACAAAATAGCAAATGTGCAAAGTGAAGCAATAAAAAGAATAATCAGAACTCATTACATAGTTACACGCTAACAAAACTGGTTTTGTCCTGGAAAGGAGTGGGGGTTGGGGCTAATAGAATAAATCTAATCCTTCTGTACCCTTCAAATACCTGAAGAGAGCTATTCTATCCTCCCTAAACCTTCTCTAAGTGCCACAACCCCAGTTCCTTCACTTGTTCGGTTATTTCAGTTGTGTCTGACTCTTCATGACCCCTTCGGGGTTTTCTTGGCAAAGATACTGGAGTGGTTTGCCATTTGCTTCTTCAGTTCATTTTACAGATGAGGAACTAAGGCAAATAGGCCATTTGGGACATAGAAGTTATTTCTTTGTGAATTATCAAATTAATCCTTCTTTATTAGTAGTGAGTCAATAGAAACAAGGTTGACCAAAATACTGTTTTTATAATATGACAATCTTTTCACATCACTATCATTTCCCAATAATTCCTTTCCTACTCTACTATCTTTTGAAACAAATGAAAACAAACAAACAAAAAAATCACCACTTTGACCATGTCTGAAAATTCAGTACTCTGCATTTTTCTGGCTTATCTGAGGCATTAAAAAAATTAAATGTATAGACAGGAGGAGAATCAGATCATGAAAACACAATCTGGTATCACAACCAATTCTGTTAATGTTTTTTTTGCAACCAAGTAGAGTGAATTTATAATCTTACAATTGGGTTCAGAAGACAAAGAATAAAATAGAGTAAGCATAAAGTTACAATAGTGGTAGAGGGAAATAGAACATTAAGTGAATGATGATGAATGGTTAGTAGGTCATAGTGACTTGAACTGTGATTGCAACATTTTCAGAGCAAGTACTGCAATTTAAACAAAGTGCTTTCTATTGTTCTGAACAGGGACAGTATTCTTTTCTACAGTACCTATACACAAGGCTTTTTTTTTCCTTTTGAGTAATGATGTCAACCTCATAAGA